AAGTGGACCTGGATCCTGCTGAACATGGAGGACACAAGTGGACCTGGATCCTGCTGAACATGGAGGACACACCTGGACCTGGACCCTGCTGAACATGGAGGATACACCTGGACCCTGCTGAACATGGAGGACACACCTGTTCCTGGATCCTGCTGAACATGAAGCATGCAGCCTGGACTCAAATTCCGCTAACATGGAGGATGCAGATTGGACACAGATTCACAGCTAAAGAACACTTCTCACTAGAAGATCCATCTCACACCCCACGTGGTCTACTGAAGGTGAGAGGATCAGGTCTGGGGCCACAGCCACTTACCTCTTAACGCTACATGTTTATTTCTGGGTGGAGCGTGAACAACGCAATACATAAGCTGCCCCTCCCATTCTCATTGGCTCCGCCCATTAAAACACCCATATTATACAATATAATAGAATGCTGGATGGGAAGAGGCCAAACGACACCAGGAAATGGGCATGTCTTTAAAGGAACGCTCTACCTTTACATAAGAAGCTCTGTCACCGAGGAAGAACTTTGTATTCCGGTTTTCAGCCACAATTTCTCATCCATCCTCCAGGAAGCCTCGTCCCCCTGCTCCTGCCATTGGCTCACTGCCTTTCCCATGAGCCACTCTGAGCCGTGAGTGAGGGATCCCCGGCAATGTTCTCAGATCTACTACACCGAGGGGGTCCCCCTGGTCTGATGTCTGCACAGATGCTGCAATGTCTGATGGGAAGCCATGTTTCCTATTACAAGACTGGGGCTGGTCCCATGATGATGGTAAAGGTGGAGCCCCCTGCTGAGTACTTATCACATTACATTGTGTACATTGGAAGGGCTCATTACCTACAGGGCAGGAGCAGGTAAGATGATGTCATCAGTCTGCTGCAGGCAAGAAGAAGCATTTCCTCAGTCTCCCATCCCCCCGATCAGACTGTACATTATAACTATGCAGCACAGTCCTCCTATCAGAGCGGCATGTGTGTGACACCGAGGGAAGATGGCAGTGTGTGTGACACCAAGGGAAGATGGCAGTGTGTGACAGCGGGGGACAGGATGGCGGCCCTGCGTGTGACAGCGGGGGGAGATGGCGGCCTGCGTGTGTGACAGCGGGGGGAGATGGCGTGTCTGTGACACCGAGGGAAGATGGTGGTGCGTGTGACACCGAGGGAAGATGGTGGTGCGTGTGACACCGAGGGAAGGTGGCGGTGCGTGTGACACCGAGGGAAGATGGCGGTGCGTGTGACACCGAGGGGAAGATGGCGGTCTGCGTGTGACACCGAGGGAAGATGGCGGCCTGCGTGTGACACCGAGGGAAGATGGCGGCCTGCGTGTGACACCGAGGGAAGATGGCGGCCTGCGTGTGACACCGAGGGAAGATGGCGGCCTGCGTGTGACACCGAGGGAAGATGGCGGCCTGCGTGTGACACCGAGGGAAGATGGCGGCCTGCGTGTGACACCGAGGGAAGATGGCGGCCTGCGTGTGACACCGAGGGAAGATGGCGGCCTGCGTGTGACACCGAGGGAAGATGGCGGCCTGCGTGTGACACCGAGGGAAGATGGCGGCCTGCGTGTGACACCGAGGGAAGATGGCGGCCTGCGTGTGACACCGAGGGGAAGATGGCGGCCTGCGTGTGACACCGAGGGAAGATGGCGGCCTGCGTGTGACACCGGGGGGAGATGGCGGCCTGCGTGTGACACCGGGGGGAGATGGCGGCCTGCGTGTGACACCGGGGGAGATGACACCGGGGGAGATGGCGGCCTGCGTGTGACACCGGGGGGAGATGGCGGCCTGCGTGGGGGGAGATGGCGGCCTGCGTGTGACACGGGGGAGATAGCGGCCTGCGTGTGACACCGGGGGGAGATGGGGGCCTGCGTGTGACACCGGGGGAGATGGCCGTGTGACACCGGGGGGAGATGGCGGCCTGCGTGTGACACCGGGTGGAGATGGCGGCCTGCGTGTGACACCGGGGGGAGATGGGGGCCTGCGTGTGACACCGGGGGGAGATGGGCGGCCTGCGTGTGACACCGGGGGGAGATGGCGGCCTGCGTGTGACACCGGGGGGAGATGGCGGCCTGCGTGTGACACCGGGGGGAGATGGCGGCCTGCGTGTGACACCGGGTGGAGATGGCGGCCTGCGTGTGACACCGGGTGGAGATGGCCAGTGTGTGTGACACACGGGGGGTGTGAGACCCTGCGTGTGACACCGGGGGAGATGGCGGCCTGCGTGTGACACCGGGGGGAGATGGCGGCCTGCGTGTGACACCGGGGGGAGATGGGGGCCTGCGTGTGACACCGGGGGGAGATGGCGGCCTGCGTGTGACACCGGGGGGAGATGGCGGCCTGCGTGTGACACCGGGGGGGGGAGATGGCGGCCTGCGTGTGACACCGGGGGGAGATGGCGGCCTGCGTGTGACACCGGTGGAGATGGCGGCCTGCGTGTGACACCGGGTGGGGATGGCAGTGGTGTGACACCGGGGGGAGATGGCGGCCTGCGTGTGACACCGGGGGGAGATGGCGGCCTGCGTGTGACACCGGGGGGATGGCGGCCTGCGTGTGACACCGGCGGGGAGATGGCGGCCTGCGTGTGACACCGGGGGAGATGGCGGCCTGCGTGTGACACCGGCGGGGAGATGGCGGCCTGCGTGTGACACCGGGGGGAGATGGTGGCCTGCGTGTGACACCGGGGGAGATGGCGGCCTGCGTGTGACACCGGGGGGAGATGGCAGTGTGTGTGAGATTGTTAAACACATTGAAATGAGATTCTCCCTCGCAGCCAGGACTCATTTATTCCATTACACGTAACACTAATGCGATAAAACGCTGCAGCGATGATAAAAGGCAGAACGTGTCTCCGCCGCACTCAGATGTTTCACAGCTATAACAAGCAGGGATTGTGGCGGTGACAAGTGACAGCGGCCTCCAGGGGGGTGAGCGCCCAACACCAAGCACCTCTTAAAGGGAACTCCGGGAGGAAACCAGAACCACGTCCAGTCATCGCACACAGCCGCCAGACTCCATTCTATGAGGCTGCAAATGTCCCCACATCCTGACACCTGCCTGAACTATGTCAGCCTCACCTTACCCAGAACCCCTCGCTGCACCCGGCATAGCCTCACCTAACCCAGAACCCCTCACCTTACCCAGAACCCCTCGCTGCACCCGGCATAGCCTCACCTAACCCAGAACCCCTCACCACCTACCCAGAACCCCTCACCTTACCCAGCACCCCCGCTGCACAGGCATAGCTCACCTAACCCAGAACCCCTCACCTTACCCAGAACCCCTCGCTGCACCCGGCATAGCCTCACCTAACCCAGAACCCCTCACCTTACCCACCTTAACCCCTCGCTGCGCCCCAGCATAGCCTCACCTTACCCAGAACCCCTCGCTGCGCCCGGCACAGCCTCACCTTACCCAGAACCCCTCGCTGCGCCAGGCACAGCCTCACCTTACCCAGAACCCCTCGCTGCGCCAGGCACAGCCTCACCTTACCCAGAACCCCTCGCTGCACTCGGCACAGCCTCACCTTACCCAGAACCCCTCGCTGCGCCAGCACAGCCTCACCTTACCCAGAACCCATCGCTGCACCCCGGCACAGCCTCACCTTACCCAGAACCCCTCACTGCCCGGCACAGCCTCACCTTACCCAGAACCCCTCACTGCCCCGGCACACAGCCTCACCTTACCCAGAACCCCTCACCTTACCCAGAACCCCTCACCTTACCCAGCACCTCGCTGCACCCGGCACAGCCTCACCTTACCCAGAACCCCTCACCTTACCCAGAACCCCTTGCTGCACCCGGCATAGCCTCACCTTACCCAGAACCCCTCACCTTACCCAGAACCCCTTGCTGCACCCGGCATAGCCTCAACATCCCCGTTCCAATATTTATTGGTAACGCCCCTCATTGCAGAGGATGACCCCCCCCCATCCCCCCAGGTTGTTGGTCGTTGGACGATGATTTTTTCCACCTATGAACATTGCTGGTTGCACCAGATCGCCCAATCTCCATCAGATCTGACCCAATATTGGTCCGTCTATAGGAGGTGTAATCTCGACCTCCTGCAGGAATCTTCCTATTGGCCAGTCCATCCAATGTTAACCCCAGCTATGCCATACACCATGACAGTGGCCCAATCACAGTCCGCTTACCATTGGCCAACTGGGCCAGTCAGGAGCCCTCCAAGGTTGCCCGCCAGTCAATGGGCACTTAGAGTAAGAAGGATGGCGCCTGGCTCTACTGGCGGGCGAGGTCTCTCCATCGCCGCAGGTGTGGCGCGTTTTACTGTATGAAAGTGCGCACGCCGCCACTTATCAGAGGTGAGCGGATCTTGAAGGAACGTTCGGCGTTCTCTTTAGTAGATGAAAACGCTTTCTCTGCCGCCACCCGGCTCTCAAAGGCAGGTGCGGCGGCGTCCCGCGCGTTTGAGGTTAGAGGTCCTCGCCGCTACGATTACACAGAACTCTTTGTTCGTCTTCCAGAACAGCGGGGAACATTTCCTCCGGTTCCTTAACTGCCCGGCAGGAGAGTTCACTTTCTCCATCGTTAACCTCGCCCGTCCCCGTGCATTATATCAAGGCATTGTGTTCCTGACGCTGCCGCGGCGGGCTGGTGCGTACAGGTGGATGCAGGCGGATTAAATGGGCCCCGACGCAGCACGATCCACTGAAGCCAGAACAACTCAAAACCTTTTTATCTCGTCTCCTGAATAGAGGAGATCGTCAAATGTCAAGGCTGGAGCGCGGTGCGAGGAGGGCGGACTGTCTGACGCTCCCCCGCCGCTCGCTAGGTAGATAGCCGAGCCTTGATGCTGCCGGAGGGTGGATCCGGTAAACAAAATAACAAATGCACCCCATTGATCGCAGACAAAGAGGGATTGAAGACAGATCTGTCTGCCGCTCTGCCTTTGTTCATTCCCCTTCAAAGAGGAGCGCCGCATGGAAGCCAGAGAGACGCTGGACTGGGGGGTTCTGGGTAAAAACTTTCCAAACCCGCTAAATGAACAGAAAGAGCAGAGAGAAAGAAGAGCTCCGCAGAGGTCAGGGTGTGATAGTCTGCAGAGCGTATCCACATGGGTCTGTCCGCAAGGGGATGGAGCAATGGTCTGCAGATCTGTATAGAGGTCAGGGATGGAATAATCTGCAATATACCTGCTGTAGAAGATGACCAGAGACTGCGGACACAGTACAGGGGATGACCAGAGACTGCGGAGACACAGTACAGGGGATGACCAGAGACTGCAGACACGTACAGGAGATGACCAGAGACTGCAGACACGGTACAGGAGATGACCAGAGACTGCAGACACGGTACAGGACATAGTATGACCAGAGACTGCAGACACGGTACAGGGGATGACCAGAGACTGCAGACACGGTACAGGAGATGACCAGAGACTGCAGACACGGTACAGGAGATGACCAGAGACTGCAGACACGGTACAGGAGATGACCAGAGACTGCGGACACGGTACAGGGGATGACCAGAGACTGCGGACACGGTACAGGACATAGATGGACCAGAGACTGCGGACACGGTACAGGAGACCAGAGACTGAGACCAGAGACTGCGGACACAGTACAGGAGCGGATGACATGAGATGACCAGAGACTGCGGACACAGTACAGGAGATGACCAGAGACTGCGGACACAGTACAGGAGATGACCAGAGACTGCAGACACAGTACAGGAGATGACCAGATGACCAGAGACAGCGGACACAGTACAGGAGATGACCAGAGACTGCGGACACAGTACAGGGATGACCAGAGACTGCGGACACAGTACAGGAGATGACCAGAGACTGCGGACACAGTACAGGAGATGACCAGAGGACTGCGGACACAGTACAGGAGATGACCAGAGACTGCGGACACAGTACAGGAGATGACCAGAGACTGCGGACACAGTACAGGAGATGACCAGAGACTGCGGACACAGTACAGGAGACGGTCAGAGTCTTTGTAGACTGCAGTGAATACACAATGCCTGTACACACTATGACATCACAGAGCTCTGTTTATAATGTGTGACCTTTACTAATGATACAGTCAGTAATGTTTTCTTGGTCTCTCCTGATTTGGGGGACATTTTTCAGTGCAGAGTTTGGTCCTCTGTCTTCTGATCACCGCTCCGCACATCATGTGACATCACCTATATCAACCAATCAGCACTCGCCTCACACTGATGTGGCTGCCCCAGGCTGGTGGCAGTTGGTTACTCTGACCTCGGAGTGAATGTACTCTGCACTGCTCCACCCTCTGGGTGCTCACCGCTATCAACTGCCACTGAGCAGCAGCTGGAAGAACAGAGAAGAGTGGTGACTCCTGGCCCAGATACCATCATCAACTGCCACGAATGACCAGAGCAGACCAGAGGTAACCTATAAAGTCCAATGTTCCCACCACCATATAACACCTGATATGGGACTCACCGATCCTGCCAGAACTCCAGAGGCCTTCTCACTTCCTGTAATCACAGACAACGTTATGACAGCTATTGTGTGAACTACAGAACACCCCCATAAGGAGAGGAAGGCAGATGAGGTGATCCTTGGAATCCAAATTAGGAGAGCCACCTAGGGTGACAACCCCACACCCCCACAGATACAGTACAGTGAGCGTTGTCACCCTAGGACAGGAAGTGTGTTACTGGTAAGACCGCCAGGTGAAAATAAAGAAGGTAAAAGAAAGAAATGAAAATGAAATGATTAAATGTGAAAAGCCGTCTGCGATATTTCTGGTTAGAGATGAGAAGTGCAATCATTGCAGACCCCGATAAAGAGGAGATGTCCTTGTATGAGGGAGAGGAGCAACTTGTCCAGTGGGCTCCCCTCTTCTCCTTCACCTGTCCCTTCCTCCTCCTGAACATGGTCTTCACCTCCCCTCCTCCTGGCCTAGGCCTCTCTGCGTCCCCTTCTCCCCTCCACTAGGGGTTCCTACCTCCTCCCCTCCAACTGCACCTTCTGCCATTCTAGGATCCCTTTCTCCCCTCTACTAGGACCTAGCCTACCTACTTCCCATCTTCCCTTCCCCCAAGTCTTCTGCACCTCAGATCCCATGCACTGGGCCCTGCCTCCCCAGGTCTACACCTCTGCAGATCGCCTCTATCCTTCCCAGGGTTCCCTACTTCTTGGGTTCCTTCCATAAGGCCCCTGCCATCCTGGGATCCCCTATCCCTTTGCTTGATTCCTTCCTCCTGTTCATAAGTCCTCTCTTCCCTCCACTAGACCCTTCTCTCCCTTCCCTGACTACTGAGGTCCTCTTCCTTCCACTCGGTCCCTGCTTCTCGTCTCTATTCCCTAGGTCACCTTCTCTTGTCCATGTGTCCACATCAATAGACCATCTGCCAGGTCCCTCTCCTTTCCTTGGGTCCCTATTCTTTGGTCTCCCCCTCCTGTCCATGTGCCCATCCACTAGACCTTCTCCCAGGGCCCATCTCCTTCCTTCCATGGGTCCCATATTCCTCAGGCCCATTCCTCCTTTCCATGTGTCACCTCCACTCAACCAATCCCTGTCCCCTCTTCCTTCCTTGGGTCCTGTACTCAACAGGTCTTCTCCTCCAGTTGACCATCTCCCAGGTCCCCTCTTCTTTCCTGGGTCCCATCTTCCTGTCCATGTGCCCCCTTCTACTAGACCATCTCCCTGGGCCCCTCTTTCTTCCCTCAGTCACTACTCTTCAGGTCCCCTCTTCCTCCTATTCATGTTGTCAACTCCACTCAACCGTATCCCCTGTCCCTTCTTCCCTGGGTCCCCTCCTCCTGTCCATGTGTCCCCTCCATTACATCATCTCCCAGGGACCCTTTTCCTAACCTGGGTCGCTAATCCTTAGGCCCTCTCCCCCTGTCCTTTCCACGTGTCTCCTCCACTCAAGCAATCACTGTCCCCTCTCCCTTCCCTGGGTCCTCTACTCAACAGGTCTTCTATTCCAGTCCACCATCTCCCAGATCCCCTCTTCTTGCTTCCTTGTATCCCCTCTTCAAATCTCCTTTCCCTGGGTCCCCTACTCTGCAGGCCCCCTACTCTTGTCCATGTGTCCCCTCCACTTGACCATCATCCAGATCCCCACTCCTTCCTTGTGTCCCCTCCTCAGGTCCCTGTGTCCCCTCCACTCGACCATCTCCCAGGTTCCTACTCCTTCCTTGTGTCCCCTCCTCAGGTTCCTGTGCTCCTCCACTCGACCATCTCCCAAGTCCCCACTCCTTCCTTCCTTGTGTCCCCTCCTCAGGTTCCTGTGCCCCTCCACTCGACCATCTCCCAGGTCCCCACTCCTTCCTTGTGTCCCCTCCTCAGGTCCCTGTGTCCCCTCCACTCCACCATCTCCCAGGTCCCCACTCCTTCCTTGTGTCCCCTCCTCAGGTTCCTGTGTCTCCTCCACTCGACCATCTCCCAGGTCCCCACTCCTTCCTTCCTTGTGTCCCCTCCACTCGACCATCTCCCAGGTTCTCACTCCTTCCTTCCTTGTGTCCCCTCCTCAGGTCCCTGTGTCCCCTCCACTCGACCATCTCCCAGGTCCTACTCACTTCCTTCCTTGTGTCCCCTCCTCAGGTCCCTGTGTCCCCTCCACTCAACTCTCCCAGGTCCCCACTCCTTCCTTGTGTCCCCTCCTCAGGTTCCTGTGCCCCCTCCACTCAACCATCTCCCAGGTCCCCACTCCTTCCTTCCTTGTGTCCCCTCCTCAGGTCCCTGTGTCCCCTCCACTCAACCATCTCCCAGGTCCCACTCCTTCCTTGTGTCCCCTCCACAGGTCCCTGTGTCCCCTCCATGCGACCATCTCCCAGGTTCTCACTCCTTCCTTCCTTGTGTCCCCTCCTCAGGTCCCTGTGTCCCCTCCACTCGACCATCTCCCAGGTTCCTACTCCTTCCTTCCTTGTGTCCCCTCCTCAGGTCCCTGTGTCCCCTCCACTCAACCATCTCCCAGGTCCCCACTCCTTCCTTGTGTCCCCTCCTCAGGTCCCTGTGTCCCCTCCATGCAGACATCTCCCAGGTCCCCTCTCCCTTCCCTGGGTTCCCTAATCCTTGGATGCTGCGTCGGGGGTCAAATGTATTTTTTGGTCAAGTTTTTGTTGTGTTTTTGGAATATTTATACCGGATCTTCCCGCCATCTTTATGTGTTTTGGATTTATTTTTTGCCTCATGGACAGTTCAGCAATGGAATGCAGACACCTCTGGTTGGGCCCTTACACCTTTAGGGCCCGGTCACACATAAGAAGTGATCTGACTCATAACAGATGGATATGCTGTAGGAAGAGAACGCAGAGATAACGGTCCCACTAATGGTAATGGCACAGATCTCATCCCTGATACCATGTGAGTGGGGCCCCCAGACCTGTATGGAGTGTGGCCCCATATACAGGCTCCTCCTCCTGGTCAGTGGCTGTTCACCATTCCTTAGCCAGTCTACTTTCACTGACAGGAAACTATAGACTCTCTAAGTCTCTGGCTGATTTGCTCTTAGTGGCTGTTCAGCCAGGGTGCTGAGTACACTATCTGCAGATGTGGAACCATTCATGAACATATGGAGGAAGGGAGAACTCACAGGCAGACGGGACGCCCTCAGAGGACAAAGGGGGGAAATAAAGGGACACGGAGAGCCGTCAGTCACAAAATTCCTGTTTAATCAGAGACATTTATGAAGAGTAAGGCATCAGACACGACACGAGGCCGAGTGACAACGCAGGACACCACACACATCAGGCGCTACAGGGGGGAGGGGCACTGTGTCCAACCACCCTTACCCTCGACAGGAGCAAAGTGCCAGTCACACTGGGGGCGGAGCTCACCAGGGGGAGGAGTCTCAGGTGGATTATCCCTGCTGACTCTCGGGGTAGACTCACACTGGTCTTATCTATTGGGGTACACGACCCCCCACCTGTGGGACAATGGCCGCCCTGTGAGGGGGGAGGGGTTAGGAGGATTTCACATTTTATTATGCCACAAATTGGGGACACCAGAGACCATTCCACCCAAAAACCACGAAGAGTGCGAGCGAAGACTGCCACTAGAGGCTGGAGGGGAGGAGTTCAGGGAGGAGGGACTGGAGGGGAGGAGTTTAGGTAATAGGGGCCGGAGGGGAGGAGTTTAGGTAATAGGGGCCGGAGGGGAGGAGTTTAGGGAGCAGGGGTAGGAGGGGCTGGAGGGGAGGAGTTTAGGTCGGAGGGGCAGGAGGGGAGGAGTTTAGGTCGGAGGGGCAGGAGGGGAAGAGTTTAGGTCGGAGGGGCAGGAGGGGAAGAGTTTAGGTCGGAGGGGCAGGAGGGGAAGAGTTTAGGTCGGAGGGGCAGGAGGGGAAGAGTTTAGGTCGGAGGGGCAGGAGGGGAGGAGTTTAGGTCGGAGGGGCAGGAGGGGAAGAGTTTAGGTCGTAGGGGCAGGAGGGGAAGGAGTTTAGGTAGGAGGGGCAGGAGGGGAAGAGTTTAGGTAGTAGGGGCAGGAGGGGAGGAGTTTAGGTAGTAGGGGCAGGAGGGGAGGAGTATAGGTAGTAGGGGCAGGAGGGGAGGAGTATAGGTAGTAGGGGCAGGAGGGGAGGAGTATAGGTAGTAGGGGCAGGAGGGGAGGAGTATAGGTAGTAGGGGCAGGAGGGGAGGAGTATAGGTAGTAGGGGCAGGAGGGGAGGAGTATAGGTAGTAGGGGCAGGAGGGGAGGAGTATAGGTAGTAGGGGCAGGAGGGGAGGAGTATAGGTAGTAGGGGCAGGAGGGGAGGAGTATAGGTAGTAGGGGCTGGAGGGGAGGAGTATAGGTAGTAGGGGCTGGAGGGGAGGAGTATAGGTTGGAGGGGAGGAGTATAGGTAGTAGGGGCAGGAGGGGAGGAGTTTAGGTCGGAGGGGCAGGAGGGGAGGAGTTTAGGTCGGAGGGGCAGGAGGGGAAGAGTTTAGGTCGGAGGGGCAGGAGGGGGGAGGAGTTTAGGTAGTAGGGGCAGGAGGGGAAGAGTTTAGGTAGTAGGGGCAGGAGGGGAGGAGTTTAGGTAGTAGGGGAGGAGTTATAGGTAGTAGGGGCAGGAGGGGAGGAGTTTAGGTAGTAGGGGCAGGAGGGGAGGAGTATAGGTAGTAGGGGCAGGAGGGGAGGAGTATAGGTAGTAGGGGCAGGAGGGGAGGAGTATAGGTAGTAGGGGCAGGAGGGGAGGAGTATAGGTAGCAGGGGCAGGAGGGGAGGAGTATAGGTAGTAGGGGCAGGAGGGGAGGAGTATAGGTAGTAGGGGCAGGAGGGGAGGAGTATAGGTAGTAGGGGCTGGAGGGGAGGAGTTTAGGTTGGAGGGGAGGAGTATAGGTAGTAGGGGCAGGAGGGGAGGAGTTTAGGTAGTAGGGGCAGGAGGGGAGGAGTTTAGGTAGTAGGGGCAGGAGGGGAGGAGTTTAGGTAGTAGGGGCAGGAGGGGAGGAGTTTAGATTGGAGGGGAGGAGTATAGGTTGGAGGGGGGAGTATAGGTAGTAGGGGCAGGAGGGGAGGAGTTTAGGTTGGGGGCAGGGGGGAGGAGTATAGGTAGTAGGGGCTGGAGGGGAGGAGTTTAGGTAGTAGGGGCAGGAGGGGAGGAGTTTAGGTAGTAGGGGCAGGAGGGGAGGAGTTTAGGTAGTAGGGGCAGGAGGGGAGGAGTTTAGGTAGTAGGGGCAGGAGGGGAGGAGTTTAGGTAGTAGGGGCAGGAGGGGAGGAGTTTAGGTAGTAGGGGCAGGAGGGGAGGAGTTTAGGTAGTAGAGGCAGGAGGGGAGGAGTTTAGGTAGTAGAGGCAGGAGGGGAGGAGTTTAGGTAGTAGAGGCAGGAGGGGAGGAGTTTAGGTAGTAGAGGCAGGAGGGGAGGAGTTTAGGTAGTAGAGGCAGGAGGGGAGGAGTTTAGGTAGTAGGGGCAGGAGGGGAGGAGTTTAGGTAGTAGGGGCAGGAGGGGAGGAGTTTAGGTAGTAGGGGCAGGAGGGGAGGAGTTTAGGTAGTAGGGGCAGGAGGGGAGGAGTCACGGAGCTGCAGGCTGTGAATAGTGGTGCTGCCCCCTGGCTGTGCTGTGCAGTAGGGTGTGTGAATCGCAGGGTTGGCTGAACAGAGTCGGCACAGTGTGGTCACAGGCGCTGGCCGGGTGAAAGCCCCGCTGGCATCATTTGTATGTTTGGCACTTGACTCTCCCCCTCAGTAGCTCTCTGCAGTCTCACTCTTCCTGCTGCAATCATTTCTACAGTGGCAGTGAGACCTCCAGGCTGCAGACCCCCCTCCCCCCGGGGTACAGAGGTGAAGACAACAACATTGGCAGTGAAATACCCCGGAACGCCCCGCCCCCCCCAAGTGAGTCCATGGTTCTTCTGTGCGGCGCCCCCTTCAGTCTGATGCCCCTTCCTGCAAGGCCATAGGGTGGGGGGCGCACCGTCCATCGACATCGTCCAATCGGTCTGCAGTCATGAGGGGGACTTGAGGCCACCCATGCGATATTGTGAACAGACACATTGTACTGGCTACAGGTATGCTGAACCTGAGGTTCTAGGGGCCCCTGGGCCGCAAAGGATTGTGGGTGCTTTTGGCTAATACTGCTGTGCTTGAGTGAGAAGGCGGGGGATGGGGTCCGGTCATCACCCCACTGGCAGTGATCTGGTTAATGGTGAAGGCGATCGTTGGGTTGGCAGCCAATCCTAATGCACTTAGAGGGGCTCCCGGCCACAGTGTATGAGAAGGGCCCCCGTTCCTGGGCGTCCTTAGGCAGCGTGCTGCTAGCCAGCTTTACCTTCCTCTATGATGTGCTCCCAGGGGCAGATCACCTCCTGGACCGAGTCCTTACAGGTCAGCTGACTGTCCTCCTCCTCCGAGTCTATGGGGCAGATCCGACTCTCCGCCGGGATGTCCACCTTTATCTGGAAGAAGCTGCAACCCAGAAGAGTCCCGTTATTCCCAATCACCGAGCAAGCCAACCGCTCCATACACCTACCGGGCCTAGGGAGGGATGTCCATGTACGGACCGGGCCCGGGGAGGGATGTCCATGTATGGACCGGGCCCGGGGAGGGATGTCCATGTCTATGGACCGGGCCCGGGGAGGGATGTCCACGTCTATGGACCGGGCCCGGGGAGGGATGTCCATGTACGGACCGGGCCCGGGGAGGGATGTCCATGTACGGACCGGGCCCGGGGAGGGATGTCCATGTACGGACCGGGCCCGGGGAGGGATGTCCATGTACGGACCGGGCCCGGGGAGGGATGTCCATGTACGGACCGGGCCCGGGGAGGGATGTCCATGTACGGACCGGGCCCGGGGAGGGATGTCCATGTACGGACCGGGCCCGGGGAGGGATGTCCATGTATGGACCGGGCCCAGTCTATGGATGTACACGGGACCGGGCCCGGGGAGGGATGTACACGTCTATGGACCGGGACCAAGGAGGGATACACGTCTACAGACTGGGCCATAAAGACATGGAGGAGCCAGTTTGGGGTGGAGGAACTTGACTGTCCTGCACAGAGTCCTGACCTCAACCCCATAGAACACCTTTGGGATGAATTAGAGCGGAGACTGCGAGCCAGGCCCCTCCCCCGACATCAGTGCCTGACCTGACAAATGTGCTTCTGGAAGAATGGTCCAACCTTCCCATAAACACCCTCCTAAACCTTGTGGACGGCCTTCCCAGAAGAGTTGAAGCTGTTATAGCTGCAAAGGGCGGGGCCAACTCAATATTGAACCCTATGGAGTAAGACTGGGGGGGGCCATTAAAGGTCATGTGCGTGGAAAGGGCGGGGAAAGGGCAGGGCCAACTCAATATTGAACCTTATGGACGAAGACTGGGGGGCCATTAAAGGTCATGTGTGTGGAAAGGGCAGGGCCAACTCAATAATTGAACCCTACGGACTGAAGACGGGGGGGCCATTAAAGGTCATGTGTGTGGAAAGGGCGGGGCCAACTCAATATTGAACCCTACGGACTAAGACTGGGGGGGCATTAAAGGTCATGTGTGTGGAAAGGGCGGGGCCAACTCAATATTGAACCCTACGGACTAAGACTGGGGGGGCATTAAAGGTCATGTGTGTGGAAAGGGCGGGGCCAACTCAAAATTGAACCCTACGGACTAAGACTGGGGGGGGCATTAAAGGTCATGTGTGTGGGAAGGCCGGGGCCAACTCAATATTGAACCCTACGGACTAAGACTGGGGGGCCATTAAAGGTCATGTGTGTGGGAAGGGCGGGGCCAACTCAATATTGATCCCTATGGACTAAGACTGGGGGGGGGCATTAAAGGTCATGTGCGTGGAAAGGGCGGGGCCAACTCAATATTGAACCCTACAGACTAAGACTGGGGGGCCATTAAAGGTCATGTGTGTGGGAAGGCCGGAGACCAATACTTTGGGCAATATAGTATATAGACCGGGCCCAGGTTGGGTGAATGGAGGAATATATGTAAATAGACCGGGCCCAGGTTGGGTATATAGACCAGGCCCAGAGGACTCATATTGTCTGATGCTGATTGGTTTCTGAAGGTCAGAAGCTTGTTCTATAGGAACAGGACAGCCAAGCAACGAATGGCCAAGCCTGGCTGGGGTCCTCCTCCCTCAGCTCTCATGGCCCCGCTATGGCTGTGGATGTGGCCGACCAATCATGTGAAGGGACAGGACACAAAGGATAGGATGAATGGCTGTCCTGTGGATCCTGCAGTTTCAGCAAGTGGAGTCATTGACAGGTCCCCCGAGGACGTCTTGTCTCTGCTGTTCCTGATCTGCATGCCTGTCCCGGGTCGGTGACTCCAAGTACCAAGGCGAGGATAAGCATGGCAGCCAGGCAAGCAGCATTATTACCGGGTCTCTGGCGGTGATATAACAGGTCCACTTTAACCCTTGGTGAGCCACAGAGATGACGTCATACCGTCAGTGGCTGTGAGCGGATCATGCAGGGAGGATTAGCCAATGGCGGTTTAATATGCGGACACAAACTGGAAGCAGCGCAGGAAGGAGAAGGCCCGCCCACATGCATGGAGAAGACGACTACTTTCACAAGGACATGTGACAACCAGGCATGCTGGGAGGACAACGCCATGATGTGATCAGCCAATAGATGGGGAAATGCAGTTCACAAACTGGACACAAGGTGGCAATAGGAAGTGAAAATAGCTGAATTCCAACCAATGATACGGTGACACAACAAAGCCACACCCACCAGGCCAACTACATGCAACCTAATAGGTCCTTTTTATATACCCCACTTATAGTGATGGAGCTCTGCTGGAATTAGACGGAGCGCGCCCGGCAACCAATGCCGTGGGATAGTTCAGGTGATAAAGAATTCACAGGAAATAATCTGAGCCTAATCAGAAATGACGGAAAATATATCCCATCATCATTACACCCAAGCTCCTCCTGGGCGGGGCTAATTCTTTAAAAGTGGATCAAAGCCCGCCCTCGAATATTCTCCACCTGAACATGGAGCCCGTGGCAATGCCAACATTCATGATGACACCATGACAGGTCAAAAGCAGACATTCCAATTACTTCCTGCCCGGGTGACACCCTACAACACACTGACATACAAGGAGTCACCAGGACAGTAAGTGGATAGGAAGACAGATTTAGGTACTTCTGGTGGTTGTATATACATTCAATGATGAGATGGACTCAATGCTTCCTGATAGACCACACCCCTAACAAAGTATACTTCCCCACCCACCTCCTCCGATGGAACGGGGCACATGGCTATAGGAAGCATGGGACTTCCCCCAAGGAACAGTGTTTAGGCCTAAGCAGCCAATGACTGGGCCTCAACACTGTCACATGGGGGGCAGGGGGAGATCCGGGGTAAGCTCTGACACCGGGGGACGACTCCTGCAGTAAGAAGGGACTATGCATGACTGATCATGCCTGGGGGGGTGGAGTATCAGAAGACACGGCCTCTCCACCATGAATAGGTGACGGGGTCTCTCCAATATACACATTAGTGGGCTAAGTGGTGCCATTTGCCTATCTGGGCAGAGTTCACCTTCCCCGTGGCGGCATGCACATCGATAAACTACAATACAGACCGACCCTGAGGAGTGGAGAACCGCTGAGGCTGCAGCCTAATGGGCGGGGGTGGGGCTGCCAGGTAATACATTTGGGGTGAATTCATATACAAACACATAACTATTCCTCTAGAGACACTGCGAGGACATCTGTGCACATGAGGCCAAGTCGAATGTTTTCTGTTATCTGCAGGTCGAAGGTTATTCATGCATACAGAAAGGAAAGGGGAATTCTGCATTCTGGCCACTAGATGGAGCAGAGGATCCTAGGAAATCAATACTAAACTCCAGCTCCACCTAGTGGCCTGTGATATGTTCTGAATTGAGGAAGGGCTGACATTCAACCTGGAAAGTAGAGCCTGCTAACGTTCGATCTCGCCCCCCTCTGCACAGAACAAGTGGAAGCTCAGCTTTCCGGGCTGAATATAAAACATTGTCCCTGCTGGACCCCCATGCACCCCCCCCCCCCAATCTACTCACTTGGTCACCTTCCTGGACGTGTGCTGCAGCTGCTGTTCCAGTTCGTTGAGCGGCTGCACTTTGCCATGATTCACCGCCGGGCACTTGGGAGAAAGGGTGGCGAAGACGGGCGAGCTGGAGCACCCCCTTTTCAGGAGCTTGCTGAAGGACAGGGTGACTTTGGATTTGGGCGCGGCCCTGATGTCCAGCGGGACGGAGAGATGGTGGTGGTGAGCGCCTGGCCCAGACTCCGACCCGAAGGACGCCTCCGTGTTGTCAGTGGAAGACGGAAACTGGTAGTCCGAGTCGCCGGCCCCATTGGCCTCCCATCTCCTCTCCACGCCCGGCGTGCTCTCTATAGCTATGCTGATGGGGGAGGGGCAGACGGCGGAGTTGGGCAGGGCGATGTGCGCGGGGGAGGGGCTGGAGAGCTCCATCCTAGGGCGGCAGGACAAGAAGGGGCTGGTGGGGGATGGAGGAGCGCAGGTACCCGTGTAGACGGTCAGGTGAGGGATGGGAGCCGTGTAATGGCACAGCTGTAAGGAGAGAGCAGAGGAGATCACTGGAGCATTCACCCACACAGACAGTACACGTTGCAGCACGCCAGCAGAAATCATGGAGGACAAGAACGCAAAACCGAATGTGTTTATTGAACGGAAGGACAGTGATGTCAGAGAGGGCGGAGTCACCGCGAAGAAAAATACAGAAAATTAGAGAAATATAAATGTAACAGAAAATAAAGACAACAGTGATGTCATAGAGAGGGAGGAGTCACCGCAAATAAAATACAGAAAATGGAAAAATAAATGTAACAGAAAATAAAGCAGACAGTGATGTCATAGAGAGGGCGGAGTCACCGCAAATAAAATACAGAAAATTAGAGAAATATAAATGTAACAGAAAAGACAACAGTGATGTCATAGAGAGGGCGGCACCAATAAAATACAGAAAATGGAAAAAATAAATGTAACAGAAAAAAAAGCAGACAGTGATGTCATAGAGAGGGCGGAGTCACCGCAAATAAAATACAGAAAATTAGAGAAATATAAATGTAACAGAAAATAAAGACAACAGTGATGTCATAGAGAGGGCGGAGTCACCGCAAATAAAATACAGAAAATTAGAGAAATATAAATGTAACAGAAAAGACAACAGTGATGTCATAGAGAGGGCGGAGTCACGAATAAAATACAGAAAATGGAAAAGTAAATGTAACAGAAAAAAAAGACCAGACAGTGATGTCATAGAGAGGGCGAGTCACCGCAAATAAAATACAGAAAATTAGAGAAATATAAATGTAACAGAAAATAAAGACAACAGTGATGTCATAGAGAGGGCGGAGTCACCAATAAAATACAGAAAATGGAAAAGTAAATGTAACAGAAAATAAAGCAGACAGTGATGTCATGAAGAGGCGGAGTCACCAATAAAATACAGAAAATGGAAAAGTAAATTTAACAGAAAATAAAGACAACAGTGATGTCATAGAGAGGGCGGAGACCAATACAGAAAATGGAGAATAAAAAATGTAACATAAAAGACAGTGATGTCATGAGCGGGCGGAGTCACCAATAAAATACAGAAAATGGAGAATAAAAATGTAACATAAAAGACAGTGATGTCATGAGGAGGCGGAGTCACCAATAAAATACATACAATGGAGAAGAATATGAGTGTAACAGAAAATGATGACAGAAGAGACAATACACACCAGACAGAGCCGCCGACCTACCGCAACACATTACATCACAGACACTGCGCTGGGGGGCAGCAACACGCTAAAGGAGGACTCCTCTCCTTCCTCTATAACTCCTCTCCTGAAATACTCTGCACTGCTGGAGGACTCCTCTCCTTCCTCTATAACTCTCTCCTCTCCTGAAATACTCTGCGCTGCTGGAGGACTCCGCTCCTTCCTCTATAACTCCCCTCTCCTGGAGGACTCCGCTCCTTCCTCTATAACTCTCCTCTCCTGGAGGACTCCGCTCCTTCCTCTATAACTCTCCTCTCCTGAAATACTCTGCACTGCTGGAGGACTCCGCTCCTTCCTCTATAACTCCTCTCCTGAAATACTCTGCACTGCTGGAGGACTCCGCTCCTTCCTCTATAACTCTCCTCTCCTGAAATACTCTGCACTGCTGGAGGACTCCTCTCCTTCCTCTATAACTCCTCTCCTGAAATACTCTGCACTGCTGGAGGACTCCTCTCCTTCCTCTATAACTCTCCTCTCCTGAAATACTCTGCACTGCTGGAGGACTCCTCTCCTTCCTCTATAACTCTCCTCTCCTGAAATACTCTGCGCTGCTGGAGGACTCCGCTCCTTCCTCTAACTCTCCTCTCCTGAAATACTCTGCGCTGCTGGAGGACTCCTCTCCTTCCTCTATTAACTCTCCTCTCCTGAAATACTCTGCGCTGCTGGAGGACTCCGCTCCTTCCTCTATAACTCTCTCTCCTGAAATACTCTGCACTGCTGGAGGACTCCGCTCCTTCCTCTATAACTCCTCTCCTGAAATACTCTGCGCTGCTGGAGGACTCCGCTCCTTCCTCTCTAACTCTCCTCTCCTGAAATACTCTGCGCTGCTGGAGGACTCCTCTCCTTCCTCTATTACTCCTCTCCTGAAATACTCTGCACTGCTGGAGGACTCCTCTCCTTCCTCTATAACTCTCCTCTCCTGAAATACTCTGCTCTGCTGGAGGACTCCGCTCCTTCCTCTATAACTCTCCTCTCCTGAAATACTCTGCGCTGCTGGAGGACTCCGCTCCTTCCTCTATAACTCTCCTCTCCTGAAATACTCTGCACTGCTGGAGGACTCCTCTCCTTCCTCTATAACTCTCCTCTCCTGAAATACTCTGCGCTGCTGGAGGACTCCGCTCCTTCCTCTATAACTCTCCTCTCCTGAAATACTCTGCGCTGCTGGAGGACTCCGCTCCTTCCTCTATAACTCCTCTCCTGAAATACTCTGCGCTGCTGGAGGACTCCGCTCCTTCCTCTATAACTCCTCTCCTGAAATACTCTGCGCTGCTGGAGGACTCCGCTCCTTCCTCTATAACTCCTCTCCTGAAATACTCTGCGCTGCTGGAGGACTCCGCTCCTTCCTCTATAACTCTCCTCTCCTGAAATACTCTGCGCTGCTGGAGGACTCCTCTCCTTCCTCTATAACTCTCCTCCTGAAATACTCTGCGCTGCTGGAGGACTCTGCTGTGACAACCAGTGAGACATGACAGGGATTTGGCGCTGTGATGAGCAGAGTTGTGGGCGGAGTTTTGTGTACTTACAATGTGATTGGTTGGAAGTTTCCTCTACTCTCTCTATACTCTAACAGCCTGCTCTAGAATTATGACGCAATGGCGCCCTCTAGCGGTGAGTTCAGGAAGTGCGGGGGTCTTTGGTTTTCTACAGGCTGTGCTTGTTCTTGGTTTTCTCTCTACGTTTCTCACTCTACATGGGATTTCATGGTGACATTTGTGGGGCCCCATCCCAGCAGGGCCCCAGTTTAGGTGGCCTTTGGAGCGTCTGGCTTTGGTTGGTTCCTGCGGTCTAGTTTGCTCATGACCTGTGTGATGTCCACTGTATTGGCTGCCTCTTTGGCTTTGGCCTCCTCCTCCAGCTGCCGCAGGATCACCGGGCTGGGGCTGGACCGCCGATGTCTCCGCATGAACGGGAAATTACTGCTGGAAACAAAATGTCACCATTACAGAGCGTCCCAACCAATCACAGGACAGGAAACATGCGTCACAAGAACACCCCGACCAACCAAGGAAACATCGTCACAAGAACATCCCAACCAATCACAAGAAGCATGCGTCACAAGAACGTACCAACCAATCACAGGACAGGAAGCATGCGTCACAAGAAGGACGTACACAAGAACATCCAATCACAAGACAAGAAGCATGCATCACAAGAACATCCCAACCAATCGTCCACAAGAAGACAGGAAAACATGCATCACAATCAACATCATCCAACCAGGAAACATCACAAGACAGGAAACATGCATCTCACAGGACAGGACCTCACAAGAACATCCCAACCAATCACAGGACAGGAAGCACAGGTAAAATCATGCGTCACAAGAACATCCCAACCAATCACAAGACAAGACAGAACACCAACGCCACAAGAACATCCCAACCAACCATCACAAGACAAGAAGCATGCGTCAGGAAAACAAGTCTTTGGTCTCCATTTAGCGACTTTGCCTGGGCCCAGATGATGTCACAAATCTGCTGCACGCAGGAGGAAGCATTTCCTCAGTCTCCCCTCTCCCAGTGATCAGACTGTACATTGTAACTTTGTAGAAGGAGGAGGAGGCATTCCCTCAGTCCCCTCAGTCCCCTCCCCCAGTGATCAGAGTGTACATTGTAACTTTGTAGAAGGAGGAGTCATTTCCTCAGTCCCCCACTCCCCAGTGATCAGACTGTACATTGTAACTTTGTAGAAGGAGGAGGAGGCATTTCCTCAGTCCCCCCTCCCCCAGTGATCAGACTGTACATTGTAACTCTGTAGAAGGATGGTCAGGGATGGTGGGAACCTCGTGCAGAGAAATGCAGAGCTCTCAGATTGTCGGTGGAGTTATAGTCCTGGGAGTCCCTACACCTTTTAGATCACATCTCCACCAGGGATTCATGGAGACCTCGAGTTCCTCCGGAGGTTGTTAGGGGTTCCATGGAGACCTCGAGTTCCTCCGGAGGTTGTTAGGGGTTCCATGGAGACCTCGAGTTCCTCTGGAAGTTAAGGGTTCCATGGAGACCTCGAGTTCCTCCGGAGGTTGTTAGGGGTTCCATGGAGACCTCGAGTTCCTCCGGAAGTTGTTAGGGGTTCCATGGAGACCTCGAGTTCCTCCGGAGGTTGTTAGGGGTTCCATGGAGACCTCGAGTTCCTCCGGAGGTTGTTAGGGGTTCCATGGAGACCTCGAGTTCCTCCGGAGGTTGTTAGGGGTTCCATGGAGACCTCGAGTTCCTCCGGAGGTTGTTCGGGGTTCCATGGAGACCTCGAGTTCCTCCGGAGGTTGTTCGGGGTTCCATGGAGACCTCGAGTTCCTCCGGAGGTTGTTAGGGGTTCCATGGAGACCTCGAGTTCCCCTGGAAGTTAAGGGGTTCCATGGAGACCTCGAGTTCCTCCGGAGGTTGTTAGGGGTTCCATGGAGACCTCGAGTTCCTCCGGAGGTTGTTAGGGGTTCCATGGAGACCTCGAGTTCCTCCGGAGGTTGTTCGGGGTTCCATGGAGACCTCGAGTTCCTCCGGAGGTTGTTCGGGGTTCCATGGAGACCTCGAGTTCCTCCGGAGGTTGTTCGGGGTTCCATGGAGACCTCGAGTTTCCTCCGGAGGTTGTTCGGGGTTCCATGGAGACCTCGAGTTCCTCCGGAGGTTGTTCGGGGTTCCATGGAGACCTCGAGTTCCTCCGGAGGTTGTTCGGGGTTCCATGGAGACCTCGAGTTCCTCCGGAGGTTGTTCGGGGTTCCATGGAGACCTCGAGTTCCTCCGGAGGTTGTTCGGGGTTCCATGGAGACCTCGAGTTCCTCCGGAGGTTGTTCGGGGTTCCATGGAGACCTCGAGTTCCTCCGGAGGTTGTTCGGGGTTCCATGGAGACCTCGAGTTCCTCCGGAGGTTGTTCGGGGTTCCATGGAGACCTCGAGTTCCTCCGGAGGTTGTTCGGGGTTCCATGGAGACCTCGAGTTCCTCCGGAGTTGTTCGGGGTTCCATGGAGACCTCGAGTTCCTCCGGAGGTTGTTCGGGGTTCCATGGAGACCTCGAGTTCCTCCGGAGGTTGTTCGGGGTTCCATGGAGACCTCGAGTTCCTCCGGAGGTTGTTCGGGGTTCCATGGAGACCTCGAGTTCCTCCGGAGGTTGTTCGGGGTTCCATGGAGACCTCGAGTTCCTCCGGAGGTTGTTCGGGGTTCCATGGAGACCTCGAGTTCCTCCGGAGGTTGTTCGGGGTTCCATGGAGACCTCGAGTTCCTCCGGAGGTTGTTCGGGGTTCCATGGAGACCTCGAGTTCCTCCGGAGGTTGTTTCCATGGAGACCTCGAGTTCCTCCGGAGGTGTTCGGGGTTCCATGGACCTCGAGTTCCTCCGGAGGTTGTTCGGGGTTCCATGGAGACCTCGAGTTCCTCCGGAGGTTGTTCGGGGTTCCATGGAGACCTCGAGTTCCTCCGGAGGTTGTTCGGGGTTCCATGGAGACCTCGAGTTCCTCCGGAGGTTGTTAGGGGTTCCATGGAGACCTCGAGTTCCTCCGGAGGTTGTTAGGGGTTCCATGGAGACCTCGAGTTCCTCCGGAGGTTGTTAGGGGTTCCATGGAGACCTCGAGTTCCTCCGGAGGTTGTTAGGGGTTCCATGGAGACCTCGAGTTCCTCCGGAGGTTGTTAGGGGTTCCATGGAGACCTCGAGTTCCTCCGGAGGTTGTTAGGGGTTCCATGGAGACCTCGAGTTCCTCCGGAGGTTGTTAGGGGTTCCATGGAGACCTCGAGTTCCTCCCTCGGAGGTTGTTAGGGGTTCCATGGAGACCTCGAGTTCCTCCGGAGGTTGTTAGGGGTTCCATGGAGACCTCGAGTTCCTCCGGAGGTTGTTAGGGGTTCCATGGAGACCTCGAGTTCCTCCGGAGGTTGTTAGGGGTTCCATGGAGACCTCGAGTTCCTCCGGAGGTTGTTAGGGGTTCCATGGAGACCTCGAGTTCCTCCGGAGGTTGTTAGGGGTTCCATGGAGACCTCGAGTTCCTCCGGAGGTTGTTAGGGGTTCCATGGAGACCTCGAGTTCCTCCGGAGGTTGTTAGGGGTTCCATGGAGACCTCGAGTTCCTCCGGAGGTTGTTAGGGGTTCCATGGAGACCTCGAGTTCCTCCGGAGGTTGTTAGGGGTTCCATGGAGACCTCGAGTTCCTCCGGAGGTTGTTAGGGGTTCCATGGAGACCTCGAGTTCCTCCGGAGGTTGTTAGGGGTTCCATGGAAACCTCGAGTTCCTCCGGAGGTTGTTAGGGGTTCCATGGAAACCTCGAGTTCCTCCGGAGGTTGTTAGGGGTTCCATGGAAACCTCGAGTTCCTCCGGAGGTTGTTAGGGGTTCCATGGAGACCTCGAGTTCCTCCGGAAGTTGTTAGGGGTTCCATGGAGACCTTGAGTTCCTCCGGAGGTCGTTAGGGGATCCATGGAGACCTCGAGTTCCTCCGGAGGTCGTTAGGGGATCCATGGAGACCTCGAGTTCCTCCGGAGGTTGTTAGGGGTTCCATGGAGACCTCGAGTTCCTCCGGAGGTTGTTAGGGGTTCCATGGAGACCTCGAGTTCCTCCGGAGGTTGTTAGGGGATCCATGGAGACCTCGAGTTCCTCCGGAGGTTGTTAGGGGTTCCATGGAGACCTCGAGTTCCTCCGGAGGTTGTTAGGGGTTCCATGGAGACCTCGAGTTCCTCTGGAGGTTGTTAGGGCTTCCATGAACAAGGAGTAATTGCCGCCAATGGAAAAGCTGGACAATCTGAACAACTCAGCAACACCTGAAGCAACAGATGATATTTTTCTCTGTTTGGCGATTACAAACCCTCCAAAACGCCTGGAAATGTATGAAATCGCACAGAAAGAAGCAAAAATTGGGCAAAAAGAAGTGTTTAAAAACCCAACCCTGAAGTTTGCTACACTGAATATGAATGCAGCCTAGGAGGGGATCCTTCCACTGATCTCCAATGGGGGGCGCACTCCTCCCCTTGGCCATCACATGAACACAGTGTGCAGTAGTAGCAGTCATCATTCGGGGTTCCCGGAGATCATGTGAGGGGATCCTCCATATTAGGAAGGTTGGGGAAGCCTGCTCTGGATCACACAGAGCGTCACATCAGCCAGTATGAAAGCCTGCCTGTAATGCCACAAAAAGGCCAGCAGATGGCAGCAAAGCCACATGGATATTTCCCAGCCGTTTCCTCCACCCATACATACTCATATAATGGACTACAAGTCCCAGCAAGTCTCCGCCAGACACTACGGGACAAACGTTCACTGCGCAGGTGTCTTCCAGGCTCACTGCTGTATAAACACGCCCCTATATCTCGGTTACAGTAATTCCACAATTCAAAGTTTTTGTCAGAAAAATAAAATCTCTGCGGTACAGACGTCATTCCTGTGTTCCTGTGAGCACCCGACGTCCTGTAGTGAGCTGACAACACTGCCTCTGCCGCACTGAAACCACAAGCAGTGTTGTCACCCCCGCCCAGTGCTCCCATGATGGACTACAGAACACCTCCCCCTCCTCATCTACAGAACATATAGTGGAGGTGTTCTGTAGTCCAGGATGGGAGAACTGGGCGGGGCTGACAACGCTGCCTCTGCTGCACTAAAACCACAAGCAGTGTTGTCACCCCCGCCCAGTGCTCCCATGATGGACTACAGAACACCTCCCCCTCATCTACAGAACATATAGTGGAGGTGTTCTGTAGTCCAGGATGGGAGAACTGGGCGGGGCTGACAACGCTGCCTCTGCTGCACTAAAACCACAAGTAGTGTTGTCACCCCCGCCCAGTGCTCCCCTGATGGACTACAGAACACCTCCCCCTCATCATCTACAGAACATATAGTGGAGGTGTTCTGTAGTCCAGGATGGGAGAACTGGGCGGGGCTGACAACGCTGCCTCTGCTGCACTAAAACCACAAGTAGTGTTGTCACCCCCGCCCAGTGCTCCCATGATGGACTACAGAACACCTCCCCCTCATCATCTACAGAACATATAGTGGAGGTGTTCTGTAGTCCAGGATGGGAGAACTGGGCGGGGCTGACAACGCTGCCTCTGCTGCACTAAAACCACAAGTAGTGTTGTCAGCCCCGCCCAGTTATCCCATGCTGCACTACAGAACACCTCCACTATAGGTTATGTAGATCATGAGGGGGAGGTGTTCTGTAGTCCAGCAGATGACAACTTATCTGACCAATTAGATGAACGTCATGCCTCACTGCTGATCTTTTTGTTCTGTAAAGAAACATGCCCACCCCGTCCTTTTTCCCATGGGAAATGCATGCCATGAGCAAAGACCAAAGACGTTTCCTTCTGACCCTACAAAGGTTCACCCCCCCCCCCCAACCCCCCACCAGACTGGCACAGTCCCGCGTTATTGCGCAGTTACAGTCAGTTTGTATCACATTCGATAAGGACGCAGTAACAGGATATTTCCAGAACTCTAGGAACATGTCAAATTTTGACAAAACGCGTAGGGAAGGGCCCAGACGCTGTGACGTCATCACGCATACTGGCAATGCTGTGTGGAATTTCTACAAGCTGTACAGACGTATGCTTTCTGGTCTTATGTAAGTCTACATGAGCGCTTCCTTTTAAAAATCCTTAACCTGCGGAATGACTCCTCTGCTCTTTGGGCCTGTACCATATGATTGCAGTGTTGATCCATTAACCTTGGAGGCCTGGGAGAGATCGAGCCAGAGGAGTGGTGACACCTGCGTATCATGACCTCTCTTTGTATGGGGGGGGGGGCATGGTTTTCTGCTAAGTGCATTGTCCTTGGGACCTTTCCTCACAGGGTGCTGGGAGGACCATCTTCCAGCCTAGTGGGACCTTACAGTTACATAGTTAGTCTGGCTGAAAAAAGACAAAAGTCCATCCAGTTCCACCATTAAAGTTCTAATCCGACACCCACAGCTGATCCAGAGGAAGGCAAAAACCCAGCAAAGCACGATCCAATCTCCTCCTGCAGGGGAAACATTCCTTCCTGACCCCCGAGAGGCAATCGGATATTCCCGAGAGGCAATAATCGGATATTCCCGGGATCAATAATCGGATATTCCCGGGATCAATAATCGGATATTCCCGGATCAACGTTCCCTATAAATGTTATATTCTGTGTATCCAAGAAAGGATCCAGGACTTCTGTAAAAGCCGGGACCAGTTCCTTAATATGTACCTTCTATCCTGCTGTAGGACCTTCGGACACGTGCTGTGCAGATACCGGATCTACATGTACACGCGGGCCAGGTAATATCGCAGATCTCCCTACTGGATTTATACAGTGCAGGAAATGTGTATTTGCCCCCCCCCCGATGGTATTTATTTGCGCCCCTCACACAGAAAACGATCGGTCTAAAAATTAATGGTGAATGTTCGCAATGGAAAGTTCACACAGAAACGATCGGTCTAAAAATTGAATGTTGCCCCCTCACACAGAAATGAACATCGGTCTAACAATGGAATGTTCGCCCCTCACGGTCTAAAAAATTGAATGTTCGCCCCTCACACAGAAACGATCGGTCTAACAATGGAACAGAAACGGAACAATGGAATTGTTCCCCCTCACACAGAAACGATCGGTCTGCTCGCCCCTCAACAGAAACGATCGGTCTAACAATGGAATGTTCGCCCCTCACACAGAAACGATCGGTCTAACAATGGAATGTTCGCCCCCTCACACAGAAATGATCGGTCTAACAATGGAATGTTGGCCCCCTCACACAGAAATGATCGGTCTAACAATGGAATGTTCGCCCCTCACACAGAAATGATCGGTTGTCTAACAAATGGAATGTCTCCCCCTCACACAGAAATGATCGGTCTAACAATGGAATGTTCGCCCCTCACACAGAAATGATCGGTCTAACAATGGAATGTTCGCCCCTCACACAGAAATGATCGGTCTAACAATGGAATGTTCGGTGTAACACTGAGAGACAGAATACAACAACAAATTCAGCAGAAATGCGTCTAACAAATGATGACGGATCTGCATGTTCATGAGGGAAAAGAAGGATTTGATCCCATATCATTCAGCAGGATTTCTGGCTCCCAGGTGTCTCTCATACAGGTAACAAGCTGAGATTAGAAGCAGTCTCTTAAAGGGAGTGCTGCTAATCTCATTGTGTTACCTGTAAAAAGACACCTGTCCACAGGAGCCATCAAACCATCAGATTCCAAACTCTCCACCATGGCAAAGACCAAAGAGCTGTCCAAGGATGTCAGGGACAAGATGGTAGACCTACACAAGGCTGGACTGGGCTACCAAACTATGGCCAAGCAGCTTGGTGAGAAGGTGACAACAGTTGGTGCAATCATTCACAAATGGAAGAAACACAAAACAAGTGTCAGTCTCCCTAGGTCTGGTGCACCATGCAAGATCTCACCTCGTGGAGTGTCAATGATCATGAGAACAGTGAGGAATCATCCCAGAACTACACGTGAGGATCTTGTCAATGATCTCCAGGCAGCTGGGACCCACAGTCACCAAGAGAAACAATTGGTACCACACTACGCCGACAAGGACTGAAATCCTGCAGTGCCCGCACGGTCCCTCTGCTCAAGAAAGCCCATGTCCAGGCCCGTCTGAAGTCTGCCACTGAACATCTGAATGATGCCGAGGAGGACTGGTGGAAGTGTTGTGGTCAGAGGAGACCAAAATCCAGCTCTTTGGCATCAACTCAACTCACCGTGTTTGGAGGAGGAGGAATGCTGCCTATGACCCCAAGAACACCATCCCAACTGTGAAACATGGTGGTGGAAACATTCTGCTTTGGGGGTGTTTTCTGCTAAGGGGACAAGACAACTGCACCGCATCAAAGGGACGATGGACGGGGCAATGTACCCTCAAATCTTGGGTGAGAACCTTCTTCCCTCAGCCAGGGCATTGAGAAATGGGTGGTGGATGGGTGTTCCAGCATGACAATGACCCAAAACACACGGCCAAGGCAACAAAGGAGCGGCTCAAGAAGAAGCACATTAAGGACCTGGAGTGGCCTAGCCAATCTCCAGACCTTCATCCGATGGACAAATCTGTGGAGGAACTGAAAGTTCGAGTTGTCCAAACATCAGCCACCAAACCTTAATGACTTGGAGAGGATCTGCCAAGAGGAGTGGGCCAAAATCCCTCCTGAGATGTGTGCGAACCTGGGGGCCAACTCCAGGAAACGTCTGACCTCTGTGATGGCCAACAAGGGATTGGCCACCAAGTACTAAGTCATGTTTTGTGAAGGGGATCAAATCCTTCTTTCCCTCATGAACATGCAGATCCGTCATCATTTGTTAGACGCATTTCTGCTGAATTTGTTGTTGTATTCTGTCTCTCAGTGTTACAATTGTTAGACCGATCATTTCCGAACATTCCATTGTTAGACCGATCATTTCTGTGTGAGGGGCGAACATTCCATTGTTAGACCGATCATTTCTGTGTGAGGGGCGAACATTCCATTGTTAGACCGATCATTTCTGTGTGAGGGGGGCGAACATTCCATTGTTAGACCGATCATTTCTGTGTGAGGGGCGAACATTCCATTGTTAGACCGATCATTTCTGTGTGAGGGGCGAACATTCCATTGTTAGACCGATCGTTTCTGTGTGAGGGTGCGAACATTCACCATCAGGGGGGCAAATACGCATTTCCTGCACTGTGAGGGCACACGTCGCTCTCGGTAATATCGCAGATCGATTTTCGGACAGGATCTATAAATGAAGTTTTCCTAGCGCTGCTTCTGTGTATTTTCTAGTCACGTGATGACGTCGCTCACCTCTTCTTAGTCTCCTGGGGCTCTATGGCCTTGTTCAGCATCTCCTTGTAGATGGGCGACTTCAGGTAGCGAGCGTAGGAATCCTACCAGGAGACAGGAGAAAATGGTAAAATATGCGCAGGGGGCGGAGCAGACACGCCCACTACCACAGAAGAGCGGCAAACCTTTTTCATCAGCATGTAGATGTGGGTCTGGGCGGCGTCCAGCACGTAGCGATGGGGGTGCTTCAGGCCTTTCACCGTGATGTCCATCGTCTTACCGTCTATGTTAATCCACCGCCGAGCGCCCGGCGCCAGGAATAGCCTGTGATGGGTGAGAGCGACCAATCAGCTGCCACCGATGTCTCGCCATCCTCATCCTCTCATATCATTCATAAAGCCAAAGCCCGGCTCACATACATCACATGACATGCCAACCCGCAGCCTTCTCAATGGATCACATATGTGGGGGCCGGCCGCAGCGCGGTTTGATGACTTTGAGCCCAGTTCAGGGGTGATTCGCGATGACGTACACTTTGACATGTCACACCCGAGCCACTGAACAATGTCACACCCGAGCCGCTGAACAATGTCACACACCCGAGCCACTGAACAGTGTCACACCCGAGCCACTGAACAGTGTCACACCCGAAGCCACTGAACAATGTCACACCCGAGCCACTGAACAATGTCACACCCGAGCCCGAGCCGCTGAACAGTGTCACACCGACGACCAGCCGCTGAACAATGCCACACCCGAGCCACTGAACAGTGTCACACCCGAGCCACTGAACAATGTCACCCCCAGCCACTGAACAGTGTCACACCCAGCCACTGAACAATGTCACACCCCAGCCGCTGAACAGTGTCACACCCGAGCCGCTGAACAATGTCACACCCGAGCCGCTGAACAATGTCACACCCGAGCCGCTGAACAATGTCACACCCGAGCCGCTGAACAATGTCACACACCGAGCCGCTGAACAATGTCACACCCGAGCCGCTGAACAATGTCACACCCCGAGCCGCTGAACAATGTCACACCCGAGCCGCTGAACAATGTCACACCCCGAGCCACTGAACAATGTCACACCCCGAGCCACTGAACAATGTCACACCCCGAGCCGCTGAACAATGTCACACCCGAGCCGCTGAACAATGTCACACCCGAGCCGCTGAACAATGTCACACCCGAGCCGCTGAACAATGTCACACCCCAGCCGCTGAACAATGTCACACCCCAGCCGCTGAACAATGTCACACCCGAGCCGCTGAACAATGTCACACCCGAGCCACTGAACAGTGTCACACCCGAGCCGCTGAACAATGTCACACCCCGAGCCGCTGAACAATGTCACCCCAGCCACTGAACAATGTCACACCCCCAGAGCCACTGAACAATGTCACACCCGAGCCACTGAACAATGTCACACCCGAGCCGCTGAACAATGTCACACCCCAGCCACTGAACAATGTCACACACCCGAGCCACTGAACAATGTCACACCCCCAGCCGCTGAACAATGTCACACCCGAGCCGCTGAACAATGTCACACCCGAGCCACTGAACAATGTCACACCCGAGCCGCTGAACAATGTCACACCCGAGCCGCTGAACAATGTCACACCCGAGCCGCTGAACAGTGTCACACCCCAGCCGCTGAACAGTGTCACACCCGAGCCACTGAACAGTGTCACACCCCAGCCCACTGAACAATGTCAATGTCACACCCGAGCCACTGAACAGTGTCACACCCCAGCCGCTGAACAATGTCACACCCCAGCCGCTGAACAGTGTCACACCCCAGCCGCTGAACAGTGTCACACCCGAGCCGCTGAACAATGTCACACCCCAGCCGCTGAACAGTGTCACACCCCAGCCGCTGAACAGTGTCACACCCGAGCCGCTGAACAATGTCACACCCGAGCCGCTGAACAATGTCACACCCGAGCCGCTGAACAGTGTCACACCCGAGCCGCTGAACAGTGTCACACCCGAGCCGCTGAACAATGTCACACCCGAGCCGCTGAACAATGTCACACCCGAGCCACTGAACAGTGTCACACCCGAGCCGCTGAACAATGTCACACCCGAGCCACTGAACAATGTCACACCCCGAGCCGCTGAACAGTGTCACACCCGAGCCACTGAACAATGTCACACCCGAGCCACTGAACAATGTCACACCCGAGCCACTGAACAATGTCACACCCGAGCCACTGAACAATGTCACACCCGAGTCACTGAACAATGTCACACCCGAGCCGCTGAACAATGTCACACCCGAGCCGCTGAACAATGTGTCACCCGAGCCACTGAACAGTGTCACACCCGAGCCGAAACAATGTCACACCCGAGTCACTGAACAATGTCACACCCGAGCCACTGAACAATGTCACACCCGAGCCACTGAACAGTGTCACACCCGAGCCACTGAACAGTGTCACACCCGAGCCACTGAACAATGTCACACCCGAGCCGCTGAACAATGTCACACCCCCGAGCCGCTGAACAATGTCACACCCCAGCCGCTGAACAATGTCACACCCCAGCCGCTGAACAATGTCACACAACAATTGTCACACCCGAGCCGCTGAACAATGTCACACACCCGAGCCACTGAACAATGTCACACCCGAGCCACTGAACAATGTCACACCCGAGCCACTGAACAATGTCACACCCGAGCCGCTGAACAGTGTCACACCCGAGCCGCTGAACAGTGTCACACCCCAGCCGCTGAACAGTGTCAGACCCCGAGCCGCTGAACAATGTCACACCACCGAGCCGCTGAACAGTGTCACACCCCAGCCGCTGAACAGTGACTGAACAGTGTCACACCCGAGCTGAACAATGTCACAACCCCAGCCACTGAACAATGTCACACACCCGAGCCACTGAACAATGTCACACCCCAGCCACTGAACAGTGTCACACCCCAGCCACTGAACAATGTCACACCCCGAGCCACTGAACAATGTCACACCCGAGCCGCTGAACAATGTCACACACCCGAGCCGCTGAACAATGTCCACCCCCAGCCACTGAACAGTGTCACACACCCGAGCCGCTGAACAATGTCACACCGGAGGGGGCAGAAAACCAGCCCACACATACGTGAACCCAAGGGGTACAACTACTGCTAGGCTTTTGTTTTTGGTCACCTCGGATTTCCCCGCACTTCCTGTCCTATAGACACAGCAGGAAGTAATAACTAAATCTCTTCTTAGTGGTCACCTCAACAGGTGTCCCCATTGGAAGATTTCCCTACTATCCCCTTTTCTGGTGACAACTGTAACTTCCCCCCGTGGGGACACAGCAGTAAAAACCTGACCGAGGGTCCAACCCTCCCCAGTCTGGACTTTAGAATTGGGATCAAAGGCAATACATGAAATAAATCACTGCCATGGTGAATGCTGAATGCAATATTGACCCAACTAAGCCCAGCCACCCACAGATTTGATTATTTGCCCCCCACCCCCCCAGTTGAGGTAATCAATACTTGATCAGGAGTGAAGCAGGAACACGGCAGAGAGATTCAGATACACACTCCTCCATATGATACATACCTAATCAATGCTGGGATGACAGCCAATGGAGCTCAGGAAGCGGCTATAAGGGGTCCTGAGGAGGGCCCAGAGGGGCCAGATGTGGGTGGGGAGGGTTCCTGCCTCAGCTGGGGTGGGGGTACTATAGACTCGGCTGGCTGGGGCGGGGCAGAGAGGCTTGGCTGGGGCCCTAGAGACTCCGCTGGGGCAGATCATTAGAAACTCCACTGGGCCGGGGGCAGAGAGCCTCGGCTGGGGCCCTAGAGACTCCGCTGGGGTGGGGGCACTAGAGGCTCCGCTGGGGTGGGGGCACTAGAGGCTCCGCTGGGGCGGGGGCAGAGAGCCTTCGGCTGGGGCCCTAGAGACTCCGCTGGGGTGGGGGCACTAGAGGCTCCGCTGGGGCAGATCATTAGAAACTCCACTGGGGCAGAGAGCCTCGGCTGGGGCAGTGCTACTAGAGACTCTGCTGGGGCGGGGCAGAGAGACTGGGGCGGGGGCAGAGAGACTGGGGCACTCTCAGAGTGGCTCAGTGAGCAAGGTAACCTCTGCAGAACTGTCTGATGTCTCTCTGTAGAGCACTCTATACCTTTCTCTTACCTCACATTCAGCTCTCACGCTGGGAAGGGCCATCACAATGATCGGAGTGCTGAGCACTGAAGGGCACCAAGAAAGGTGCTTAGGACCTTGTTGGACCCGAGCCCAATATTGTGTGATCGCTGATTGCCCAGCACTTCCTGATTACTGAGACCAGATGGGAGCAATGAGGAGGGGAATGTGGGAAATTCTAGAAGTGATCTCAGGCCCTCCAACATCCGACCGCTCTGCTCCACTCACTTGTAGATCTCCTCCGCCTTCTCCTTCACCTTGGACTGGTCACCATATTTCAGGTCCTCACAGGCCTCCCAGAAGCTCATATTCTCACCTGGGGGGAAGAGACAAGTCACCTTCAGAGGTCAGAACCCCCAACCACCTCCCTCAATATACCCCCCTCAAACCATCTTCCCCATTACACACCCCACAAACCATCCTCCTCAATACACCCCCCCAACCACCCCCCTCAATATACCCCCCTCCCATCTTCCCCATTACACACCCCACAAACCATCCTCCCAATACACCCCCCCAACCACCCCCCTCAATATACCCCCCTCAAACCATCTTCCCCATTACACACCCCACAAACCATCCTCCTCAATACACCCCCCCCAACCACCCCCTCAATATATGCCTCCCCATTACACCCCCCTTCAATACACACCTCCTCAAACTAACCCCCCTATATACCCCCAAACCATTCCTCTCTGTACACCCCCTCACCCCCCTCAATACACGCCCTCAAAGTATTCAAGTATTCCTCTCAATACATCCCCCCCCCCCCCCCTCAAACCCCCTCAAACCATCCCCCATAACCCCCCCCCATCCTCCTTAATACACCCCCCCCAACCCCCCCCTCAAATACCCCCCTCATCTTCCCCATTACACCCCCACAAACCATCCAATACACCCCCCAACCATCCTCCTCAAACCATCTTCCCCATTACCGCCCCACAAACCATCCTCCTCAATACACCGCTCCTTAAACCATCCTCCCCAATACACCCCCCCCCCCCAAAAAAAAAAAAAAAGATTTCCTCCCCCAATATAACCCCCCTTAATACACGCCTCTTCAAACCATCCCCCCAATGCCCCCCCTTAAAGTATTCCTCTCAATACACCCCCCCAAACCACATCTTCACCAACCATCTTCTATTCCCCCCCTCCCCCAAAGCATTGCTCTCAATACAACCATTGCCCCCGTACAGTCCCCTTCAATATATCCCCCCAATATCTAGTCTGGGGTCCCCATACAAGTGAGGAGGATCGGGAGGCCCCCCCACCAGACAGTCCCGGGGGGGGGGGGGGGAGGGGGGAACAGCTGGAAAGCCAATACTAAGAGGAAGCCAAAAATGACAATTGTGGAGAAGTGAGGTCATCGGTGTACCCCGTGTGTCATGTATGAAGGGGCTAGAAACATGTAGGGGTCATTCTGACGTATGGCAGCCCTTGCCGCCCTCTGAAAAGTGTCATGCAGTGGATCATTTTTCAGAGGGTGACTAACAGTCGGTTCCTGGGCCGCGCCTCTCATTCGCTGGATTTCACTTCCTTCAATAATAATGGAGGCTATAGATACACATGGACTATGGATGGTAATGAGTCTGGAGTCTGCCATTTGGATTTACCCCCCCCCCCCCCATCCATTGTGCCTCTCCCCATCCCTGTGCTTCCCCCCCCATCCAATGTGCCTCCCCCCATCCATTGTGCTTCCCCCCATCCACTGTGCCTCCCCCCATCCATTGTGCTTCCCCCCCCTCCACTGTGCTTCATCCAATGTGCCTCCCCCACCCATCCAATGTGCCTCCCCCCATCCCTCCCCCCCATCCATTGTGCCTCCCCCCATCCAATGTGCCTGTGCCTCCCCCCATCCATTGTGCCTCCCCCCATCCATTGTGCCTCCCCCCATCCATTGTGCCTCCCCCCATCCAATGTGCCTCCCCCATCCAATGTGCCTCCCCCCATCCATTGTACCTCCCCCATCCCTCCCCCATCCAATGTGCCTCCCCCCATCCATTGTGCCTCCCCCCATCCATTGTGCCTCCCCCCATCCATTGTGCCTCCCCCCATCCATTGTGCCTCCCCCCATCCAATGTGCCTCCCCCCATCCAATGTACCTCCCCCATCCAATGTGCCTCCCCCCATCCAATGTGCCTCCCCCATCCAATGTGCCTCCCCCATCCAATGTGCCTCCCCCATCCAATGTGCCTCCCCCCATCCAATGTGCCTCCCCCCATCCAATGTGCCTCCCCCCCCATTGTGCCTCCCCCATCCAATGTGCCTCCCCCCCCATCCATTGTACCTCCCCCCATCCATTGTACCTCCCCCCCAATCCAATGTGCCTCCCCCCCCATCCAATGTGCCTTCCCCCCCATCCAATGTGCCTTCCCCCCCCATCCATTGTGCTTCCCCCCCATCCAATGTGCCTCCCCCCATCCATGTACCTCCCCCCCCATTGTACCAGTGTGCCTCCCCCCCATCCCCTCCCCCCCACCCCACACACCGCTGAACTCCTTCTTCAAGAACTGCTGGAAGCTCTGCCGTCCTTTGGGGTCTCTGATCAGCTCACTGAAATTAAACGTCCATCGCTCCACCCGCAGCTTGGTGGGGACCTCCACCCTACAGGAGACAATGATGGAAGTCAAAGGTTTGGCCTCTGTTGGAGCAAACCCAAGTTCAGTACGTCTCCCCCTACAGCTGGCAGTCCTGGGGGGGGGGGCTCCACCAGTAATAAGGGGTGGGGGCATCTGGATTCCTGAGAACAGAGATCCCATCTCTCTATAATGGACTGAAGAGCGATCAATAATCAGCAATCACCGGCCGGATGTAGAGGACACCCATCAAACAATGGCGGGCAGGTCAGTCATCCCATCACCAGGGTTGGGAGGACCCGGCACCACTCTGCTTGTTCCTCACAATTTTCATGTTTTTTTGTCTTTACCAAAATATTTAAAATACATTTAGAAATCGGTCGGTGTCGGTGCCTCCAGCAGGGGGCAGTACATGGGGCAATACTACCAGTATTGTCGGTGCCTCCAGCAGAGGGCAGTGCATGGGGCATTACTACCAGTATTGTCGGTGCCTCCCAGCAGAGGGCAGTACATGGGGCATATTACTACCAGTATTGTCGGTGCCTCCAGCAGAGGGCAGTGCATGGGGCATTACTACCAGTATTGTCGGTGCCTCCAGCAGGGGCAGTGCATGGGGCATATTACTACCAGTATTGTCGGTGCCTCCAGCAGGGGGCAGTGCATGGGGCATATTACTACCAGTATTGTCGGTGCCTCCAGCAGAGGGCAGTGCATGGGGCATTACTACCAGTATTGTCGGTGCCTCCAGCAGAGGGCAGTGCATGGGGCATTACTACCAGTATTGTCGGTGCCTCCAGCAGGGGGCAGTGCATGGGGCATATTACTACCAGTATTGTCGGTGCCTCCAGCAGGGGGCAGTGCATGGGGCATATTACTACCAGTATTGTCGGTGCTTCCAGCAGGGGGCAGTGCATGGGGCATTACTACCAGTATTGTCGGTGCCTCCAGCAGAGGGCAGTACATGGGGCATATTACTACCAGTATTGTCGGTGCCTCCAGCAGAGGGCAGTGCATGGGGCATATTACTACCAGTATTGTCGGTGCCTCCAGCAGGGGGCAGTACATGGGGCATTACTACCAGTATTGTCGGTGCCTCCAGCAGGGGGGCAGTACATGGGGCATATTACTACCAGTATTGTCGGTGCCTCCAGCAGGGGGGCAGTGCATGGGGCATTACTACCAGTATTGTCGGTGCCTCCAGCAGAGGGCAGTGCATGGGGCATATTACTACCAGTATTGTCGGTGCCTCCAGCAGGGGGCAGTACATGGGGCATCTTACTACCAGTATTGTCGGTGCCTCCAGCAGAGGGCAGTGCATGGGGCATCTTACTACCAGTATTGTCGGTGCCTCCAGCAGAGGGCAGTACATGGGGCATATTACTACCAGTATTGTCGGTGCCTCCAGCAGAGGGCAGTGCATGGGGCATATTACTACCAGTATTGTCGGTGCCTCCAGCAGGGGGCAGTGCATGGGGCATTACTACCAGTATTGTCGGTGCCTCCAGCAGGGGGCAGTGCATGGGGCATTACTACCAGTATTGTCGGTGCCTCCAGCAGGGGGCAGTACATGGGGCATCTTACTACCAGTATTGTCGGTGCCTCCAGCAGAGGGCAGTGCATGGGGCATCTTACTACCAGTATTGTCGGTGCCTCCAGCAGAGGGCAGTACATGGGGCATATTACTACCAGTATTGTCGGTGCCTCCAGCAGAGGGCAGTACATGGGGCATATTACTACCAGTATTGTCGGTGCCTCCCCAGGGGGCAGTGCATGGGGCATATTACTACCAGTATTGTCGGTGCCTCCAGCAGGGGGCAGTGCATGGGGCATTACTACCAGTATTGTCGGTGCCTCCAGCAGGGGGCAGTGCATGGGGCATATTACTACCAATATTGTCGGTGCCTCCAGCAGGGGGCAGTGCATGGGGCATCTTACTACCAGTATTGTCGGTGCCATCCAGCAGGGGGCAGTGCATGGGGCATCTTACTACCAGTATTGTCGGTGCCTCCAGCAGGGGCAGTGCATGGGGCATCTTACTACCAGTATTGTCAGTGCCTTCAGCAGGGGGCAGTGCATGGGGCATCTTACTACCAGTATTGTCGGTGCCTCCAGCAGGGGGCAGTGCATGGGGCATCTTACCATTAGTAAATCTGTGCCTCCAGCAGGGGGCGGTACAGCAGGGCATCTTACCATTCATAAATCTGTGCCTCCAGTAGGGGGCAGTGCATGGGGCATATTACTACCAGTATTGTCGGTGCCTCCAGCAGAGGGCAGTGCATGGGGCATATTACTACCAGTATTGTCGGTGCCTCCAGCAGGGGGCAGTGCATGGGGCATTACTACCAGTATTGTCGGTGCCTCCAGCAGGGGGGCAGTGCATGGGGCATTACTACCAGTATTGTCGGTACCTCCAGCAGAGGGCAGTGCATGGGGCATTACTACCAGTATTGTCGGTGCCTCCAGCAGGGGGCAGTGCATGGGGCATTACTACCAGTATTGTCGGTGCCTCCAGCAGGGGCAGTGCATGGGGCATTACTACCAGTATTGTCGGTACCTCCAGCAGAGGGCAGTGCATGGGGCATTACTACCAGTATTGTCAGTGCCTCCAGCAGGGGGGAGTGCATGGGGCATCTTACCATTAGTAAATCTGTGCCTCCAGCAGGGGGCGGTACAGCAGGGCATCTTACCATTCATAAATCTGTGCCTCCAGTAGGGGGCAGTACCTGTACAGGGAGGAGATCAGGTGAATGTCTAGTGTCCAGGCAGTTATTGTACCCCATACAGCCCACTCACAGCTTGGCGTTCAGCTCCCAGAACATGGTGTCATCTGTGATCCAGGGGTTGCTGGGGAGGCAGCCGGACATGATGGGGTCATGGGTGAAGTATTGCTCGCAGTATTTCAGGATCCTGATGGGAGAACACAGAGAATCAGATATGGTGAAGATCCTACAGGGGGCGCTGCGCAGTGTGAGCCGGGAGGTGCCAGTGCTCCAGTGTGCAGTACATGCATCCCCCAGATCACCACGGATCAGTACATGCATCCCCCAGATCACCACGGATCAGTACATGCACCACGGATCAGTACATGCATCCCCCAGATCACCACGGATCAGTACATGCATCCCCCAGATCACCACGGATCAGTACATGCATCCCCCAGATCACCACGGATCAGTACATGCATCCCCCAGATCACCACGGATCAGTACATGCATCCCCCAGATCACCACGGATCAGTACATGCATCCCCCAGATCACCACGGATCAGTACATGCATCCCCCAGATCACCACGGATCAGTACATGCACCCCCCAGATCACCACGGATCAGTACATGCATCCCCCAGATCACCACGGATCAGTACATGCATCCCCCAGATCACCACGGATCAGTACATGCATCCCCCAGATCACCACGGATCAGTACATGCACCCCCCAGATCACCACGGATCAGTACATGCACCCCCCAGATCACCACGGATCAGTACATGCACCCCCCAGATCACCACGGATCAGTACATGCTTCCCCCAGATCACCACGGATCTGGGGAGAGCGGACACACACAGAATCTGTACGACTCTTATATCTGGGACAACATTTCTTACCCATTGACAGACACGGAGGATTTCACTGTAGATCTCATCAGAGACTGTTGATAGTACATGATCTGCAGAGGAGGGGAGACATATTATGTACACGCATACACCCCTCCCTGTATATACGCCACGCCCCTCCCTGTACATACGCCACACCCCCTCCCTGTACACACGCCACACGCCACCCCTCCCTGTACACACGCCACGCCCCTCCCTGTACACACGCCACGCTCCTCCCTGTACACACGCCACGCCCCTCCCTGTACACACGCCACACCCCTCCCTGTACACACGCCACACCCCTCCCTGTACACACGCCACACCCCTCCCTGTACACACGCCACACCCCCCCTCCCTGTACATACCACACCCCTGCCTGTACATACCACACCCCTCCCTGTACATACCACACCCCTCCCTGTATATACCACACCCCTCCCTGTATATACCACACCCCTCCCTATAGATCAATAATGACACTTCTCTTCAATCAAAGCAGATCAGAAAGATTAATCATCAAATAACATTTTTTGCAATCGGCACAACACGATCCTACAGGGAATAGGAGGAGGATTTCCAGCCTGGGACCCTCAGAACGAAGAATATCCCCAACAGACATTCCATGCTTGTATCCCAAACACTTACAGTGCAGGAAATGTGTATTTTTGCCCCCCCTGATGGTGAATGTTCGCCCCTCACACACACAGAAATGATCGGTCTAACAATGGAATGTTCGCCCCTCACACAGAAACGATCGGTCTAACAATGGAATGTTCGCCCCCTCACACAGAAACGATCGGTCTAACAATGGAATGTTCGCCCCTCACACAGAAATGATCGGTCTAACAATGGAATGTTCGCCCCCTCACACAGAAATGATCGGTCTAACAATGGAATGTTCGCCCCTCACACACAAATGATCGGTCTAACAATGGAATGTTCTCCCCTCATACAGAAATGATCGGTCTAACAATGGAATGTTCGCCCCTCATACACAGAAATGATCGGTCTAACAATGGAATGTTCGCCCCTCACACAGAAATGATCGGTCTAACAATGGAATGTTCGGTGTAACACTGAGAGACAGAATACAACAACAAATTCAGCAGAAATGCGTCTAACAAATGATGATGGATCTGCATGTTCATGAGGGAAAGAAGGATTTGATCCCCTATCATTCAGCAGGATTTCTGGCTCCCAGGTGTCTCTCATACAGGTAACAAGCTGAGATTAGAAGCAGTCTCTTAAAGGGAGTGCTGCTAATCTCATTGTGTTACCTGTATAAAAGACACCTGTCCACAGGAGCCATCAAACCATCAGATTCCAAACTCTCCACCATGGCAAAGACCAAAGAGCTGTCCAAGGATGTCAGGGACAAGATGGTAGACCTACACAAGGCTGGACTGGGCTACCAAACTATGGCCAAGCAGCTTGGTGAGAAGGTGACAACAGTTGGTGCAATCATTCACAAATGGAAGAAACACAAAACAAGTGTCAGTCTCCCTAGGTCTGGTGCACCATGCAAGATCTCCCCTCGTGGGGTGTCAATGATCATGAGAACAGTGAGGATCATCCCAGAACTACACGTGAGGATCTTGTCAATGATCTCCAGGCAGCTGGGACCACAGTCACCAAGAAAACAATTGGCAACACACTACGCCGACAAGGACTGAAATCCTGCAGTGCCCGCACGGTCCCTCTGCTCAAGAAAGCCCATGTCCAGGCCCGTCTGAAGTCTGCCACTGAACATCTGAATGATGCCGAGGAGGACTGGTGGGAAGTGTTGTGGTCAGAGGAGACCAAAATCCAGCTCTTTGGCATCAACTCAACTCGCCGTGTTTGGAGGAGGAGGAATGCTGCCTATGACCCCAAGAACACCATCCCAACTGTGAAACATGGTGGTGGAAACATTCTGCTTTGGGGGTGTTTTTCTGCTAAGGGGACAGGACAACTGCACCGCATCAAAGGGACGATGGACGGGGCAATGTACCCTCAAATCTTGGGTGAGAACCTTCTTCCCTCAGCCAGGGCATTGAAAATGGGTGGTGGATGGGTGTTCCAGCATGACAATGACCCAAAACACACGGCCAAGGCAACAAAGGAGCGGCTCAAGAAGAAGCACATTAAGGTCCTGGAGTGGCCTAGCCAGTCTCCACACCTTCATCCGATTGAAAATCTGTGGAGGGAACTGAAAGTTCGAGTTGCCAAACGTCAGCCACCAAACCTTAATGACTTGGAGAGGATCTGCCAAGAGGAGTGGGCCAAAATCCCTCCTGAGATGTGTGCGAACCTGGGGGCCAACTCCAGGAAACGTCTGACCTCTGTGATGCCAACAAGGGATTGGCCACCAAGTACTAAGTCATGTTTTGTGAAGGGGATCAAATCCTTCTTTCCCTCATGAACATGCAGATCCGTCATCATTTGTTAGACGCATTTCTGCTGAATTTGTTGTTGTATTCTGTCTCTCAGTGTTACGCCGAACATTCCATTGTTAGACCGATCGTTTCTGTGTGAGGGGCGAACATTCCATTGTTAGACCGATCATTTCTGTGTGAGGGGCGAACATTCCATTGTTAGACCGATCGTTTCTGTGTGAGGGGCGAACATTCCATTGTTAGACCGATCATTTCTGTGTGAGGGGCGAACATTCCATTGTTAGACCGATCATTTCTGTGTGAGGGGCGAACATTCCATTGTTAGACCGATCATTTCTGTGTGAGGGGCGAACATTCCATTGTTAGACCGATCATTTCTGTGTGAGGGGCGAACATTCAGCATCGGGGGGGGGGGGGGGGTGGGGGGAAGTAGAAATACGCATTTCCTGCACTGTACAACCAACATTTCGGAAGGATTTGTTCCCAGAGAGAGGATGGATACAATGGAGATGTCTTCACCCGCCATATGGAGATCGATAGATAAAGCCCCTGACTGTATAGTAGATCGATAGATCGATAGATTGACCTGTCTGTCTATCTGATGGTTTTCTATCCTTGTAAAACAGATAATTCCCTCTCCCTAAATCCGACATAATTATTTTCTTGCTATTTTATTTTCTTCCATTATATAAAATATATAATAGTGACACCATGGAACAAAAATCTGAAACAAGTGAGAGATACAAACATAACAAACACGATATTATTAAAGGGGATGTGGGGGGTGAAGAGTTAATGGCGGATGGGATGGAGGGGGATGTGGGGGGTGAAGAGTTAATGGCGGATGGGATGGAGGGGGATGTGGGGGGGTGAAGAGTTAATGGCGGATGGGATGGAGGGGGATGTGGGGGATGAAGAGTTAATGGCGGATGGGATGGAGGGGGATGTGGGGGGTGAAGAGTTAATGGTGGATGGGATGGAGGGGGATGTGGGGGGTGAAGAGTTAATGGTGGATGGGATGGAGGGGGATGTGGGGGATGAAGAGTTAATGGCGGATGGGATAGAGGGGGATGAAGAGTTAATGGCGGATGGGATGGAGGGGGATGTGGGGGGTGAAGAGTTAATGGCGGATGGGATGGAGGGGGATGTGGGGGGTGAAGAGTTAATGGCGGATGGGATGGAGGGGGATGTGGGGGGTGAAGAGTTAATGGCGGATGGGATGGAGGGGGATGTGGGGGGTGAAGAGTTAATGGCGGATGGGATGGAGGGGGATGTGGGGGGTGAAGAGTTAATGGCGGGGATGGGATGGAGGGGGATGTGGGGGGTGAAGAGTTAATGGCGGATGGGATGGAGGGGGATGTGGGGGGTGAAGAGTTAATGGCGGATGGGATGGAGGGGGATGTGGGGGGTGAAGAGTTAATGGCGGATGGGATGGAGGGGGATGTGGGGGGGGGATGAAGAGTTAATGGCGGATGGGATGGAGGGGGATGTTAATGGCGGGGGATGAGGGGGAGTGGGGGGTAGTTAATGGCGGATGGGATGGGGGGATGATTAATGGCGGATGGGATGGAGGGGGATGTGGGGGGATGAAGAGTTAATGGCGGATGGATGGAGGGGGGGGATGTGGGGGGTGAAGAGTTAATGGCGGATGGGATGGAGGGGGATGTGGGGGGGTGAAGAGTTAATGGCGGGATGGGATGGAGGGGGATGTGGGGGGTGAAGAGTTAATGGCGGATGGGATGGAGGGGGATGTGGGGGGTGAAGAGTTAATGGCGGATGGGATGGAGGGGGATGTGGGGGGTGAAGAGTTAATGGCGGATGGGATGGAGGGGGAGTGGGGGGTGAAGAGTTAATGGCGGATGGGATGGGGGGGATGGGGGGGGTGAAGAGTTAATGGGATGGGATGGAGGGGGATGTGGGGGGTGAAGAGTTAATGGCGGATGGGATGGAGGGGGATGTGGGGGGTGAAGAATGGCGGATGAGTTAATGGCGGATGGGATGGAGGGGGATGTGGGGGTGAAGAAGTTAATGGCGGATGGGATGGAGGGGGATGTGGGGGGTGAAGAGTTAATGGCGGATGGGATGGGGGGGGTGGGGGGTGAAGAGTTAATGGCGGATGGGATAGGGGGATGTGGGGGGTGAAAGAGTTTAATGGCGGATGGGATAGAGGGGGATGTGGGGGGTGAAAGAGTTAATGGCGGATGGAATAGAGGGGGATAAGAGGGGGATGTGGGGGGTGGGGGTGAAGAGTTAATGGCGGATGGGATAGAGGGGGATGTGGGGGGTGAAGAGTTAATGGCGGATGGGATAGAGGGGGATGTGGGGGGTGAAGAGTTAATGGCGGATGGGATGGAGGGGGATGTGGGGGTGAAGAGTTAATGGCGGATGGGATGGAGGGGGATGTGGGGGGTGAAGAGTTAATGGTGGATGGAGGGGGATGTGGGGGGTGAAGAGTTAATGGCGGATGGGATGGAGGGGGATGTGGGGGATGAAGAGTTAATGGCGGATGGGATAGAGGGGGATGTGGGGGGTGAAGAGTTAATGGCGGATGGGATGGAGGGGGATGTGGGGGGTGAAGAGTTAATGGCGGATGGGATGGAGGGGGATGTGGGGGGTGAAGAGTTAATGGCGGATGGGATCCACCCACCCAGATATATATATAGAGGAAGGAGCGGCTCCATGAGGTGTGATGACTCCTGTTCCTGATACTCACCTCACGTCTGTAGAAATCCACCGTCTTCTTCTGTAAGACACAAAGAGAGGAGACAGCGTCAGGGGGGGCAGTGACCCCAATATCACTTAAATCTGTCAGGCGAGAACTACACTTCACCTGTCCGCCCCTCGCCTCCCTCTCCTGTCCGCCCCTCGCCTGCCTCCCTCTCCTGTCCGCCCCTCGCCTGCCTCCCTCTCCTGTCCGCCCCTCCCCTGCCTCCCTCTCCTGTCCGCCCCTCGCCTGCCTCCCCTGCCTCCCTCGCTGTCCGCCCCTCGCCTGCCTCCCTCTCCTGTCCGCCCCTCGCCTGCCTCCCTCTCCTGTCTGCCCCTCCCCTGTCCGCCCCTCCCTGCCTCCCTCTCCTGTCTGCCCCCCTCGCCTGTCCGCCCCTCCCCTGCCTGCCCCTCGCCTGCCTCCCTCTCCTGTCCGCCCCTCCTGTCCTGCCCCTCGCCTGCCTCCCTCTCCTGTCCGCCCCTCGCCTGCCTCCCTCTCCTGCCTCCCTCTCCTGTCCGCCCTCTCCCCTCCCTCCCTGCCGCCCCTCCTGTCCGCCCCTCGCCTGCCTCCCTCTCCTGTCCGCCCTCCCCTGCCTCCCTCTCCTGTCCGCCCCTCGCCTGCCTCCCTCTCCTGTCCTGTCCGCCCGCCCCTCGCCTGCCTCCCTCTCCTGTCCGCCCCTCGCCTGCCTCCCTCTCCTGTCCGCCCCTCGCCTGCCTCCCTCTCCTGTCCGCCCCTCGCCTGCCTCCCTCTCTCTGTCCGCCCCTCGCCTGCCTACCTCTCCTGTCCGCCCCTCGCCTGCCTCCCTCTCCTGTCCGCCCCTCGCCTGCCTCCCTCTCCTGTCCGCCCCTCGCCTGCCTCCCTCTCCTGTCCGCCCCCTCGCCCCTCCCCTGCCTCCCTCTCCTGTCCCCCCCCTCGCCTGCCTCCTCTCCTGTCCTGTCCGCCCCTCGCCTGCCTCCCTCTCCTGCCCGCCCCTCTCGCCTGCCCCTCTCTCTGCCGCCCCTCTCCGCCCCTCGCCTGCCTCGCCTGCCTCTCTCCGCCCCCTCGCCTGCCTCCCTCTCCTGTCCGCCCCTCGCCCCTCTCCTGTCCCGCCTGCCTGCCTCGCCTGCCTCCTCTCCTGCTCCGCTCCTGCCTGCCTCCCTCTCCTTACTCTGAAATATAAACAAGGCCTGCCTGTGTGATAAAATTTCCATTTCAGCATGCATGTGGGGCAGCTGTCCGTTTTGGGGTGCGGGGAGGGGCATGATGCGTCTCTTAGTTTATCCTCTCTCTCTCCGCTCTTTTTTGCCTCCTTTATTTGAAGTGCACAAAGTGACACTACATTCATGTCCATGCGCATTCCTCGATAAGCCTGGGTCTCCTCTCCGCCCCTGACGGGACTGGGACGCAGGCGGGGACTGGGACGCAGATGGGGACTGGGAGACATCCCTTCCTGATTGGGACGCAGCCTGGGGGACTGGGGCGCAGACGGGGCCTGGGGGGACGCAGACGGGGACTGGCCTGCCTCCGGGGACTGGGGCCCCAGCGGGGACTGGGACTGGGGACTCCTGACCGGGACGCAGACGGGGACTGGGACGCAGACTCTCCTGGGACAGACGGGGACTGGGATCCCTGGACATTGGGGGATGGGACGCAGACGGGGACTGGGACGCAGATTGGGATTGGGACGCAGACGGGGACTGGGCATAGATTGGGATTGGGACGCAGACGGGGACTGGGACCCAGATTGGGATGGGACGCAGACGGGGGACTGGGACATAGATTGGGAGATTGGGACGCAGACGGGGACTGGGACGCAGATTGGGACTGGGACGCAGATGGGGACTGGCAGATGGGGACTGGGACGCAGATGCGGGGACTGGGGGACTAGACGCAGGCGGGGGGGACTGGGACATAGATTGGGATTGGGACGCAGACGGGGGGACTGGGACATAGATTGGATTGGGACGCGCAGACGGGGACTGGGGACATAGATTGGGATTGGGACGCAGACGGGGACTGGGGCGCAGACTGGGGCGCATTGGGACTGGGGCGCAGGCGGGGACTGGGACATAGATTGGGATTGGGACGCATACGGGGACTGGGGCGCAGGCGGGGAGTGGGGCGCAGGGGGGACTGGGACATAGATTGGGATTGGGACGCAGGGACGGGGACGGGGACTGGGACGGATAAAATTGGGACCATTTCAGCATGTGGGACAGGGCAGGGGGGACGCAGGCGGGGACTGGGGCGCAGGGGGGGGGGGACGAGCGCATGGGGACTGGGACGCAGGGGATCTGGGAGCTGGGAAACATTTGAAGTGGGACTGGGACACTGGGGACATTCATGGGACTGGGGAGCAGACTGGGGACTGGGGCGGGCAGACTGGGACTGGGACGCAGACGGGGACTGGGACAGGGGACTGGGACATAGATTGGGATTGGGACGCAGACGGGGACTGGGGACGGGGACTGGGGCGGGGACTGGGGGGGCGCAGACAGCAGGCGGGGACTGGGACATAGATTGGGATTGGGACGCAGACGGGGACGGGGACTCAGACGGGGACTGGAACGTAGTACCCTGACAGGGTACTACAGACTGACTACATAGGCGGGGACTGGGGCGCAGGTGGGGACTGGGGCGCAGGGGGGGACTGGGGCGCAGGCGGGGACTGGGACTGGGACATGGATTGGGACGGGGACTGGGGACTGGGGCGCAGACGGGGACTGGGGCGCAGACGGGGACTGGGACGCAGATTGTGACAGCGGGATTTCAATCCATCCAATAGATTGTATTGCCACTGCCAATGTATGGGGGGAACTCTGGAGGCGGACAGCACTGGCGGGTGGTAGATTGCTCAGCGCCCCCCTCTGGTAGAGGACAGAACAACAGCCGGGGAAGGCTCCCCACTTCATCTACAGCTGCTGCGTGGGCCGGAGTTGGGCTTTAATGTGGACAGAACCGACAGCCGCCTCTTCCCGGATCCATAGACAGTGAGGCTGGGCCCCTCCGGGGACACACAATTACATCTGCTGTGTATGGTGGTGTGTACGCCGAGGGATGACTATTGGAGGAGAATGAGAGCGCGGCTTGCCGGGGCAGAACATGGAATGGTCCTTCAAAGAAGAAAAGTCCTGATCATCCGACACCCATCACCACATTCCCCGACATAGGAGACCAAAGAAGGATCTGTGGAGAGAGGAGAGGAAGAAACGTCACTACAGAACACCAACTACACCATCAGCAACAGCCTTCATACTGCACCCTCCCCGTGAGGGGGACTACAAATCTCCTCCACCCGAGGGGGACTACAAATCTCCACCCGGGGGGGACTACAAGTCTCCTTCACCCGGGGGGGGACTACAAGTCTCCTTCACCCGGGGGGGGGACTACAAGTCTCCTTCACCCGGGGGGGGACTACAAGTCTCCTTCACCCGGGGGGGGGGGGGGACTACAAGTCTCCTTCACCCAAGGGGGGGGGACTACAAGTCTCCTCCCCCTATATATACACACAGTACTCTCCTCCCCCTATATATATACACAGTACTGTATATACTTTTCATTTCTTCATCCAGAGAAGACTGTGAAGACAAATCACATAGTTTCTCTATATAGGACGATCTCCTGAGTTCTAGGGACAAATATTCTGCAGGGAACATGTCGGGGTAACAGGGAACCTTCCTCAGGCGGCACTTTCTTTGTTCCCCCCCAATGTCTCCAATTTACATTTTGTTTTTACTTTTCCAACTTTGAACATGTAACAAAGTCCAGTGACACCATAAAGGAATGATCTCTCACAAGTAACAAAGTCCAGTGACACCATAAAGGAATGGTCTCTCTCACAAGGAAAGTCCAGTGACACCATAAAGGAATGGTCTCAGCCCCGCAGGACCGCCGCGTCACTCAGCCCCGCAGGACCGCCGCGTCACTCAGCCCCGCAGGACCGCCGCGTCACTCAGCCCCGCAGGACCGCCGCGTCACTCAGCCCCGCAGGACCGCCGCGTCACTCTCAGCCCCGCAGGACCGCCGCGTCACTCAGCCCCGCAGGACCGCCGAGTCACTCAGCCCCGCAGGACCGCCGAGTCACTCAGCCACCCAGGACCGCCGCGTCACTCAGCACCCCCAGGACCGCCGCGTCACTCAGCCCCCCAGGACCGCCGTGTCACTCAGCCCCGCCGGACCGCCGTGTCATTCAGCCCCGCCGGACCGCCGTGTCATTCAGCCCCGCAGGACCGCCGTGTCATTCAGCCCCGCAGGACCGCCGTGTCATTCAGCCCCGCAGGACCGCCGTGTCATTCAGCCCCGCAGGACCGCCGTGTCATTCAGCCCCGCAGGACCGCCGTGTCATTCAGCCCCCGCAGGACCGCCGTGTCATTCAGCCCCGCAGGACCGCCGTGTCATTCAGCCCCGCAGGACCGCCGTGTCATTCAGCCCCGCAGGACCGCCGTGTCATTCAGCCCCGCAGGACCGCCGTGTCATTCAGCCCCGCAGGACCGCCGTGTCATTCAGCCCCGCAGGACCGCCGTGTCATTCAGCCCCGCAGGACCGCCGTGTCATTCAGCCCCGCAGGACCGCCGTGTCATTCAGCCCCGCAGGACCGTGTCAATCCAACCACAAATGGCGCAGAGCAGTCTGACCTTAACCCTTTCACCTCTATGGCAGCAAACGTGCCAATTGCGGATTTGTGTCACCTTATTCCAATGCCCCAAATTTCCCTTTGGTAGTAAAATCCTCAGTATGGAAAGAGTACCCGCTGTGACATCACCCCCCCGTGACATCATCTGCCTCGTGGCATCACCCCCCCATGCCTCATGGCATCCCCCCCCTGACATCACCCCCTGACATCACCCGCCTCGTGGCATCACCCCCTGTGACATCACCCACCTCGTGGCATCACCCCGTGACATCACCTGCCTGGTGACGCCATCGCAGCTCTCTGTACACCCCACAGTGCCTGGACCAGGCTTTAGGTTGCCATCCCAGAGTCTCACCTGGTTACCTTGACAACGTTGGGGTCATTGGCCCGGTCCATCCCATAATCCAACACGTCCAGCATCCCCGGCTGGAAGAAAAGGGGCGGGGTTAATGTCATCAATGAATCCAAATCCATACAGAAAAATCTGCGGCCAAACGGCGCATCACTCACTGGTGGCCGATTAACCAGCCAATACGCCTTCTCCTGGCAATCCAGCACCAGCCGGTCCGCCTTCTTCCGCTCTTTCCCCCGCCCTGAAATGAATGACAACAATGTTACATTTTACAGATGTTACTCACCAAGTATTACCTGTATCTACCAATGGCAGAGTAACAAAGTATCAGTCATCACAGGAAAAAACAGAACAGAATAATAAAGAAGAATCTCACAAGCATTTTCTCAGCCCTCAAAAGGATTTGAATGTAGATGTGGATTTCCTAAGATCCCCAGTGCCACCTAGTGGCCACAATGGGGTATTTTCCCAATTAAGGCATTTCAGGAAAGAAAATATTATGGCCACTAGATGGAGACAATCACAGAAAATCAATATATTGAGCAACACATGGTGAGAATTTGTGGGGGGCTGGGTGACATTTATCCAATTACATTTCTTTTTAACCTCTTTGTGCCGAGAGCTTGCAAATATGGGGCCTCTCATTGGGTGGGCCCCTCAGTGGGTGGGCCCCTCAGTGGGTGGGCCTTGATACTAAGAGGCCCCATATTGGCGTATCAAAATGTAAACAAACTTGTGCCGAGTGTGCATGTGCGCGCTTCCGGCACAGTTACCGATGCCTAACAGAAAGCTCCTGACAGTTCCTTGTGATAGGCAGCTTTCCGATCATGTGACCACGGTTGCAGCCAATCACAGTGGTCACATGATCCTAAACACCACCACCCGCCTCCTAGCATCAGAAACCACTTACATGGGTGAGGCGCCGGCGTTGCTGGGTTACATATACCCCTTATAGTATGCTGAATAGAGGACCTGAACTGGAGTAAAGGACTAGTCCACAATATTGCCTGTGGTCTCCCTGCTCTTTACGGACTATGTCTTGTTCTGTGGAGGTGGCCATCTTGGTAGAAGCTGGACTATAGTTCCTCAAGTCAGAGCTGCCGCCCCGATGACTGTTGGGGTAATGAGAGGGGTGGACACAGATCCACAGAATGGATGAAGTAGTGGGATCCTTACAATGTAGATCCTCAGGTACAGCTTCCACTCCAGCAAAGCAAACAGTGAGCAGCACAGCAGTGACATCACCAAATCTCCAGAGAATACCAGGCTTGGAAGCAGGGAGATCCTCATATTGCAGGTCCTCAGGTACAGCTTCCACTCCCAGCAAGGAGAATAGTGAGCAGCACAGCAGTGACATCACCAAGCAGGGAGATCCTCACATTGCAGGTCTTCAGGTACAGCTTCCACCCCAGCAAGGAGAACAGTGAGCAGCACAGCAGTGACATCACCAAGCAGGGAGATCCTCACATTGCAGGTCTTCAGGTACAGCTTCCACTCCAGCAAGGAGAACAGTGAGCAGCACAGCAGTGACATCACCAAGCAGGGAGATCCTCACATTGCAGGTCTTCAGGTACAGCTTCCACTCCAGCAAGGAGAACAGTGAGCAGCACAGCAGTGACATCACCAAATCTCCAGTGAATACCAGGCTTGGAAGCAAGGAGATCATTACACTGCAAGTCCTTAGGTACAGCTTCCACTCCAGCAAAGCAAACAGTGAGCAGCACAGCAGTGACATCACCAAATCTCCAGAGAATACCAGGCTTGGAAGCAGGGAGATCCTCATATTGCAGGTCCTCAGGTACAGCTTCCACTCCAGCAAGGAGAATAGTGAGCAGCACAGCAGTGACATCACCAAGCAGGGAGATCCTCACATTGCAGGTCTTCAGGTACAGCTTCCACCCCAGCAAGGAGAACAGTGAGCAGCACAGCAGTGACATCACCAAGCAGGGAGATCCTCACATTGCAGGTCTTCAGGTACAGCTTCCACTCCAGCAAGGAGAACAGTGAGCAGCACAGCAGTGACATCACCAAGCAGGGAGATCCTCACATTGCAGGTCTTCAGGTACAGCTTCCACTCCAGCAAGGAGAACAGTGAGCAGCACAGCAGTGACATCACCAAATCTCCAGTGAATACCAGGCTTGGAAGCAAGGAGATCATTACACTGCAAGTCCTTAGGTACAGCTTCCACTCCAGCAAAGCAAACAGTGAGCAGCACAGCAGTGACATCACCAAATCTCCAGAGAATACCAGGATTGGAAGCAGGGAGATCCTCATATTGCAGGTCCTCAGGTACAGCTTCCACTCCAGCAAGGAGAATAGTGAGCAGCACAGCAGTGACATCACCAAGCAGGGAGATCCTCACATTGCAGGTCTTCAGGTACAGCTTCCACTCCAGCAAGGAGAACAGTGAGCAGCACAGCAGTGACATCACCAAGCAGGGAGATCCTCACATTGCAGGTCTTCAGGTACAGCTTCCACTCCAGCAAGGAGAACAGTGAGCAGCACAGCAGTGACATCATCACCAAGCAGGGAGATCCTCACATTGCAGGTCTTCAGGTACAGCTACCACTCCAGCAAGGAGAACAGTGAGCAATGCAGCAGTGACCTCACCAAATCTCACCCCCACAAATCTCCTGAGACTAGCAGTCAGAGTCAGCAGTGCCTAAGGTGATGTCACACTGCAGATATATGAGACTACAGATCAGGAAGTGGTGCCTTAGTTTTCAGGAGGAATCCCGGACAGAAGGCGGGGTACGGCTTAGGCAGAATTCACATATCTAGATGTACCCTATAACAAGCAAATGTTGAGTTTTGATTTCAGACCCAATTTAAGGCACACTAAAATGACAAAATAAAACTGGCTGAGAGGTGACTTTAGCATGCCTTTAGGATGGGTAAGTGCTGCTTTAAGTGCGGGGAATCGGGTCCTAAACCTGTCCGTGTGCCGGCTAACTGATCCCATCCATCCCAACCTGAAAGGTGCGAATTAGCAGACAGCACGGGAAGGAACGGGTTAATGAGTACTCACTTGTACTGCTCCTTGGCCTGCATGACGACAAAGTCCCATTTGTGGTTAATCTTCTTGTTCAGATTGCTGTAGTTTTCCTGAACGGAAAGGAAGGGAAATCTAATGAGCGCCTAAGAAAATTAGCATCAATTCTGAGGAGTCCAGCGAGACGCGGGGGGAGGCGGCAGAACATTCCGCTGTCTGAGCGAGTGCAGGGAACACGGTGTCACTACTGGGGGGGGGGGGGGGGGGGGGGTGTGAGTACTGGGGTGCAAGGGGAATAGAATGAGTGTGCTGGGGTGCAGAGGGGGAGAGAACAGAATGTGAGTACTGGGGTGCAAGGGGAATAGAATGCGTGTATTGGGGTGCAGAGGGGGAGAGAACAGAATGTGAGTACTGGGGTGCAGAGGGGGGAGAGAAGAATGTGAGTACTGGGGTGCAAGGGGAATAGAATGCGTGTATTGGGGTGCAGAGGGGGAGAGAACAGAATGTGAGTACTGGGGTGCAAGGGGAATAGAATGCGTGTATTGGGGTGCAGAGGGGGAGAGAACAGAATGTGAGTACTGGGGTGCAAGGGGAATAGAATGCGTGTATTGGGGTGCAGAGGGGGGAGAGAACAGAATGTGAGTACTGGGGTGCAAGGGGAATAGAATGCGTGTATTGGGGTGCAGAGGGGGGAGAGAACAGAATGTGAGTACTGGGTGCAAGGGGAATAGAATGCGTGTATTGGGGCGCAGAGGGGGAGAGAACAGAATGTGGGTACTGGGGTGCAAGGGGAATAGAATGAGTGTGCTGGGGCGCAGAGGGGGGAGAGAACAGAATGTGAGTACTGGGGTGCAAGGGGAATAGAATGCGTGTATTGGGGTGCAGAGGGGGGAGAGAACAGAATGTGAGTACTGGGGTGCAGAGTGGGGGGTGCAGAGGGGGGAAGAACAGAATGTGAGTACTGGGGTGCAAGGGGAATAGAATGCGTGTATTGGGGTGCAGAGGGGGGAGAGAACAGAATGTGAGTACTGCTTGTGTATTGGGGTGCAGAGGGGAGAGAAACAGAATGTGAACTGGGGTGCAAGGGGAATGTGTGTGTATTGGGGTGCAGAGGGGGGGAGAGAACAGAATGTGAGTACTGGGGTGCAAGGGGAATAGAATGTGTGTATTGGGGTGCAGAGGGGGGAGAGAACAGAATGTGAGTACTGGGGTGCAAGGGGAATAGAATGAGTGTATTGGGGTGCAGAGGGGGGGAGAGAACAGAATGTGAGTACTGGGGTGCAAGGGGAATAGAATGTGTGTATTGGGGTGCAGAGGGGGGAGAGAACAGAATGTGAGTACTGGGGTGCAAGGGAATAGAATGTGTGTATTGGGGTGCAGAGGGGGGAGAGAAACAGAATGTGAGTACTGGGGTGCAAGGGGAACAGAATGAGTGTATTGGGGTGCAGAGGGGGAGAGAACAGAATGTGAGTACTGGGGTGCAAGGGAGAATAGAATGCGTGTATTGGGGTGCAGAGGGGGGAGAGAACAGAATGTGAGTACTGGGGTGCAAGGGGAATAGAATAGAGATGTGTATTGGGGTGCAGAGGGGGGAGAGAACAGAATGTGAGTACTGGGGTGCAAGGGAATAGAATGACAGAATGTGTGTATTGGGGTGCAGAGGGGGAGAGAGAAACAGAATGTGAGTATTGGGGTGCAGGGGATATGAGAATACTGGTGTATTGGGGTGCAGGGGATATGAGAATAGAATGTGTGTATTGGGGTGCAGAGGGGGGAGAACAGAATGTGAGTGTACTGGGGTGACAGGGGCTATGAGAATAGAATGTGTGTATTGGGGTGCATGGAGCAGAATGTGAGTACTGGGGTGCATGGAGCAGAATGTGAGTACTGGGGTGCATGGAGCAGAATGTGAGTACTGGGGTGCAGAAAGGAAGCAGATATCTATAATGGGAGTCACATATCTAGAAGGGGGGGCACAGTAAGGACCTGATATCGGGGGTCCCGGGGTACTCAGAATGGCAATGTGTCAGTTTGATCCCTTTTCACTGACAGGTTCTCTTTGAGGGGCTCTGAATGTGATGAATGCGGTCAGAAGTCTGGGATCAGTCGGTGGTATGATCTCTGAACCAAGATCCAGGACACGCTCGGCTGTGATTGGACGATTCTTAGGGGGTCTGGTAGCTCACTTCTGAATGGTCAGATCTCTGCATTAAAGGGGCCCCCGCGCCCGTGTACTCACCTTCTCATACTCCTCCAGAATCCCCTTCTTTCGGATATTCTTCTTCGCCAGGTAAATCGCTGCAACACAAACCCACAATCAGCAAATGAACAGCGAGAAAACCTGCTCTCCATTCACATGGACTGCCATTCCCAAACCTGATTGGACTGAAAATACTGTCTCCGCCCCCTCATTTACATACAATGCACTGATCACTCTTTGTTGGGGGGGGGGGGGGGGGCAATACTCACCATAGTCGGTGTCCTCTGCTGGCCACTGCTGCGTTGGCCAAAAATATGGAGTCTGGAATGAGACAGAGAGCCGTGCTGAGTATACGGGAGCCGTGCGACTGCACCCCACTAACAGCACCCCTCAATTCCCTGCACCCCACTTCATCACCCCCTTCCACCCCACGTCATCACCCCCTTCCACCACACTTCATCACCCCCTTCCACCACCCTGCACCCCACTAACAGCACACCACCTCCCTTCACCCCACTTCATCACCCCTTCCACCCCACTTCATCACCCCCTCCACTCACCCTGCACCCCACTTCATCACCCCTTCCACCCCACGTCATCACCCCATCCCACTCACCTGCACCCCTTTCACCTCCCCACGTCATCACCCCTTCCACCCCACTGCATCAACCCCCTTCTCCACCCTTCACTTCATCACACCCCTTCCACCCCACTTCATCACCCCCTTCCACTCACCCTGCACCCCAACTTCACCTCCTTCTCCATCCCCTTCCACTCACCCTGCACCCCAACCCCACCTCCTCATCTTCATCCCCTTCCACTCTCCCTGCACCCCAACTTCACCTCCTTCTCCATCTTCATCCTTTTCCACTCTCCCTGCACCCCATCTTCATCCCCTTCCTCCCTCCTGCACCCCATCTTCATCCCCTTCCTCTCTCCTGCACCCCATCTTCCCTCCATCCCCCCCTGCCCCCCGACCTGGAAGCGGTACAGGCTGGCCTCTGGCTTCAGGATGAGGTTGGAGGGCTCCTGCAGAGGGTAGATGTAGCCACATTTCACCATCAGATTGCCCAGATGCTGCCCCTCTGCAGAGAGAAGACAAACCAGGAGAGGGAGTGACCACCTGTAACAATGGTGTCACCCACCGTGACTGAAACCAAGGGCAGGGATTGGGATGACAGGCAAGGATTGGGATGACAGGGCAGGGGACAGGCAGGGATTGGGATGACAGGGCAGGGGAAAGGCAGGGATTGGGATGACAGGGCAGGGGACAGGCAGGGATTGGGATGACAGGGCAGGGGACAGGCAGGGATTGGGATGACAGGGCAGGGGACAGGCAGGGATTGGGATGACAGGGCAGGGGACAGGCAGGGATTGGGATGACAGGGCAGGGGACAGGCAGGGATTGGGATGACAGGGCAGGGGACAGGCAGGGATTGGGATGACAGGGCAGGGGACAGGCAGGGATTGGGATGACAGGGCAGGGGACAGGCAGGGATTGGGATGACAGGGCAGGGGGCAGGCAGGGATTGGGATGACAGGGCAGAGGACAGGCAGGGATTGGGATGACAGGGCAGGGGACAGGCAGGGATTGGGATGACAGGGCAGGGGACAGGCAGGGACTGGGATGACAGGGCAGGGGACAGGCAGGGATTGGGATGACAGGGCAGGGGACAGGCAGGGATTGGGATGACAGGGCAGGGGACAGGCAGGGATTGGGATGACAGGGCAGGGGACAGGCAGGGATTGGGATGACAGGGCAGGGGACAGGCAGGGATTGGGATGACAGGGCAGGGGACAGGCAGGGATTGGGATGACAGGGCAGGGGACAGGCAGGGATTGGGATGACAGGGCAGGGGACAGGCAGGGATTGGGATGACAAGGCAGGGACAGGCAGGGATTGGGATGACAGGGCAGAGGACAGGCAGGGATTGGGATGACAGGGCAGGGGACAGGCAGGGATTGGGATGACAAGGCAGAGGACAGGCATGGATTGGGATGACAGGGCAGAGGACAGGCAATATGGGAAGCAGAAGTATAAATCGGCAGGTATGGGCCCATCATGGAAGGCTCTATAGGCCGACTCCAGCGACCGCTTTCCTTTCTCTGGTAATTCCCCGATAAGAGTCAGAAAGGTGACTGAACATCGGAAATCAGAGTCAATACATGATGAGAGGAAACAGAAGATGCAGCATACTGCCCCGCAGAGCTGACACTCCACGTTTGGGAGTTCACAGAAGGCTCTATGTGCCTCTATGTCAGACACAAAGCTTCATGATAATCCTTCCATTGGGGGGCGCTGTGATGTGACAGATCTTTAATGAGCCGGGTTCTGGCCCCAGGGATCATGGTTTCCCCCAACCTTGAGGCCGTCATTCCATCTAGTAGAGAAGATCGCCCATCAAACACCCCAAGATGGCAAACAAAGACTCTATAAAGGCTACAAAGTAACGAGCCCAATGAGTTCCCACACAGGGAAGACACGGATCAGCCATGCTAATAAAGAGCCCAGATAATTGGCCATTATCCAAGAGCGGTAAATGTCTTCCCGTCAGGAGGATGATCTCTCGGGTGACCTTTGCAGTAACTAATCTCACCAGAAAGGAGCAGCTTTGTACCTGGAACAGTCTGCCGGAAGAGCCGAGTCTACCACAAAGGGGCCCCGGGCCTCAGGGCCCCACAGAGAGGGGGTGACATCTATTTCCAGATACATGGGCCATGCATGGATTGTCACTGAACACAAAACATAACCACAGCACCACAAAGTGAGGGGCACATTGTTAGACCGCATACAGACTCCACTGTAGGAGGAATACATGCGGAAAAAATGGCGGAGACTTCCAAGGTCCATTCACGTGATCGCTGCCAACACGCCACCATTCCGCATTCTTTGTGCCGTCTCGGGAGAAGCGCTGCCTACAGTCTGTCTACAGATAAATCTTCACCAACTACATCTGGATGGGGTGGGAAAGGTTGTCAACAGAGCAGGTATAAGGGCCCAAACTGTGGCCCCTGAAATCAACAAAGGGCCACACAATGTTCAATATTTGTAATACTGGAGAGAAATGATGATCACAGACTGGAGGCATCCTGCAGGTTAGTATGCAAGCCGGGGACATGGAGGGACGGAGGGGGGGATCGGGGTATAATAGAGGGACGGAGGGGGGGATCGGGGTATAATAGAGGGACGGAGGGGGGGATCGGGGTATAATAGAGGGACGGAGGGGGGATCGGGGTATAATAGAGGGACGGAGGGGGGATCGGGGTATAATAGAGGGACGGAGGGGGGATCGGGGTATAATAGAGGGACGGAGGGGGGATCGGGGTATAATAGAGGGACGGAGGGGGGATGGGGGTATAATAGAGGGACGGAGGGGGGATCGGGGTATAATAGAGGGACGGAGGGGGGATCGGGGTATAATAGAGGGACGGAGGGGGGAAGGGGGGTATAATAGAGGGGACGGAGGGGGGATCGGGGTATAATATAGAGGGACGGAGGGGGGATCGGGGTATAATAGAGGGACGGAGGGGGGATCGGGGTATAATAGAGGGACGGAGGGGGGATCGGGGTATAATAGAGGGACGGAGGGGGGGATCGGGGTATAACAGAGGGACGGAGGGGGGATCGGGGTATAATAGAGGGACGGAGGGGGGATGGGGGTGTAATAGAAGGGACGGAGGGGGGAATCGGGGTGTAATAGAGGGACGGAGGGGGGATCGGGGTATAATAGAGGGACGGAGGGGGGATCGGGGTATAATAGAGGGACGGAGGGGGGGGGGGATCGGGGTATAATAGAGGGACGGAGGGGGGATCGGGGTATAATAGAGGGACGGAGGGGGGGATCGGGGTATAATAGAGGGACGGAGGGGGGATAGGGGCAAATAGGGGGACGGAGGGGGGATTGGGGGTACTGTGAGGGACGGAGGGGTGAATGTCACAATCATGGTACTGTGCCGGGGGGTATGTCACACATCATGGTACTGTGCCGGGGGTGAATGTCACACATCATGGGTACTGTGCCGGGGGGATCATGTCACACATCATGGTACGTGAGGGGGGAATGTCACACATCATGGTACGGAGGGTCGGGCGGGTGAATGTCACACATCATGGTACTGTGCCGGGTGAAATGTCACACATCATGGTACTGTGCCGGGTGAATGTCACACATCATGGTACTGTGCCGGGTGTGAATGTCACACATCATGGTACTGTGCCGGGTGAATGTCACACATCATGGTACTGTGCCGGGTGAATGTCACACATCATGGTACTGTGCCGGGTGAATGTCACACATCATGGTACTGTGCCGGGTGAATGTCACACATCATGGTACTGTGCCGGGTGAATGTCACACATCATGGTACTGTGCCGGGTGAATGTCACACATCATGGTACTGTGCCGGGTGAATGTCACACATCATGGTACTGTGCCGGGTGAATGTCACACATCATGGTACGGAGCTCCTGAATGAACTCTCCCGCTGAGCTCTCGGCTGATTGTCTTTCATTTTGTCACCAATCCCAATTCCCGGAGGTGTCGGTGTCACAGCATTTCAGTGGTCTATATTACACCAATACACCCGTTCCCTCTTCACCACGGATCCAGCACAGAACAGAACCTGAGACAAGAGGAACCCTGGACCCGGGTGAATGGTACCCGGGGACACTTGGAGAATCTTTAGGGGAATTCCATCATCTGGGATCCGTCTAGGACCCAATGTCATGATCTTCCATTACATCTTCATCACTGCAAGATCCTAAGCTATGGGGCGGCACTGCAGCCTCCTGTAACATGAGCCCGAGTGACCTCGAAGACAATGACCGGCCCATCCTATACCGGATTTGTACTGGGGTCAGTGTTACATTCACCACCACCAAGGATTCACCAGTCACAGCTGACCAGTCGTCACCCTCGGCCCCTCGCTCATCGTCCCACACACTTGGCAGATGACGATTTTAGTGTTTTCTACACACCACCATTCACCACCCAAACCTGGAAATTGGGTCACACCCGGGGAGGAGATTACAATGAGCCCCAGACACAGACATATCATCATGGAAAGGTCACGTTATGGGGCGGGGGGGTCCTTCCCATGGCTTGCACCCCATTTTCATGGGAGGCTGGACCATGACCCTGTGTTGTCACATCTGAGGTCACAGAGGAACCCCGACATACAGAACTCATACAAGTCATAGAACATGACAAACATCCCCCAAGCGCCCCCATGGGGGGGACACAGGCAGCGAGCAGCACTCACCTTCATCTCCAATCTGTAACCTCTGAATCAGCCACTCCAGGATATCGTGACCTGCACAGCAAACACAGCACACCATCAGGAGCCATGACTACACGGGAATCAAATCGCACGTCCCATTATTCCCACATTCACATGTAGCCAGATTTATGACTTACCTGTGACTGCATGAGGGATGGTGGTGATCATCAGGCGCTGGGTGTGCGTCTTTATTCCTGCCTCTGCATCCTGCATCTCCAGCAATAACACCTCAATCTGGAAGACATACAAAAAAATGTGTTGTGTCATTGGTGGCAGCTGAGCCCCTCTGTGGTCGGTGTCATAGTGGCAGCTGAGCCCCCTCTGTGGTCGGTGTCATTGGTGGCAGATCCGCCCCCTCTGTGGTCGGTGTCATTGGTGGCAGCTGAGCCCCCTCTGTGGTCGGTGTCATTGGTGGCAGCTGAGCCCCCTCTGTGGTCGGTGTCATTGGTGGCAGATCCGCCCCCTCTGTGGTCGGTGTCATTGGTGGCAGATCCGCCCCCTCTGTGGTCGGTGTCATTGGTGGCAGATCAGCCCCCTCTGTGGTCGGTGTCATTGGTGGCAGATCCGCCCCCTCTGTGGTCGGTGTCATAGCTCAGCCCCCTCTGTGGTCAGTGTCATAGCTCAGCCCCCTCTGTGGTCAGTGTCATAGCTCAGCCCCCTCTGTGGTCAGTGTCATAGCTCAGCCCCCTCTGTGGTCAGTGTCATAGCTCAGCCCCCTCTGTGGTCAGTGTCATAGCTCAGCCCCCTCTGTGGTCAGTGTCATAGCTCAGCCCCCTCTGTGGTCAGTGTCATAGCTCAGCCCCCTCTGTGGTCAGTGTCATAGCTCAGCCCCCTCTGTGGTCAGTGTCATAGCTCAGCCCCCTCTGTGGTCAGTGTCATAGCTCAGCCCCCTCTGTGGTCAGTGTCATAGCTCAGCCCCCTCTGTGGTCAGTGTCATAGCTCAGCCCCCTCTGTGGTCAGTGTCATAGCTCAGCCCCCTCTGTGGTCAGTGTCATAGCTCAGCCCCCTCTGTGGTCAGTGTCATAGCTCAGCCCCCTCTGTGGTCAGTGTCATAGCTCAGCCCCCTCTGTGGTCAGTGTCATAGCTCAGCCCCCTCTGTGGTCAGTGTCATAGCTCAGCCACCTCTGTGGGTCGGTGTCACGGGTGGCAGCTCAGCCCCCTATGTGGTTGATATCATTGGTGGCAGCTCAGCCCCCTATGTGGTTGATATCATTGGTGGCAGCTCAGCCCCCTCTGTGGTCAGCATCTATAGTGCTGCACCTCCTCTATGGTACTCCTTATCACCCACTCTCCTCTCCAGGACTCCTTTGGAGTTGCACCCCCTCTATGGAACTCCTTACCACCCACTCTCCTCTCCAGGACTCCTTTGGAGTTGCACCCCCTCTATGGAACTCCTTACCACCCAATCTCCTCTCCAGGACTTCTGTGGAGCTGCACCCCCCCCTATGGAATCTCTCACCTGCTCTTACATGATGACAGTATATGATATTCATTGTAGAACCATCTCCACTGGACAGGTTTTCAAGTCATGGGTTGTTTTTTATCTTTACATGTCAGAAACACGTGGAGCTGGAGTTACACTTTAAGGAATGATCAGTATTCAGTGAGGGGAATCTATGGATGGCAGACCTGTGGAAGAATGTGATTGGCTGCTGTGAGTGCGGCACTTTGTGTCATTTTAATAAAGGGGACGTGACTGCTAGATGCGCAATAATCCGGCATAAGAAAGGTCGCCAACGCTCCTCCGCAGAGCGCAACGTCTGGAAATTCAGCCGCCATTAAAGTTCAATAAAATTTGTTGTAAAAAATTAAAAAGTACAGAAAGCAGGTTTGCCGGAGCGCTGAACCCGTGTCCCCCCGCAGCGCGCAGGGACTGGAGTGGATGGTGATGTATAATTCACACTCCCTTCACACCTAACCCACTTCTGAGCAGAACGCAGGCCGCGGTGCGCCACTGAGGGGGCGGAATCCTCCGAAAGGGCAAGACGCCATCTGCAATTCACATCCAGGCTGAGCCAGTCGGGGGGGGGGGGGGGATTAATTGTTTGCCATTTAGAATGAAGAAGAATTGGAATGAGCCCTCCATGTCTGCTCCATGTGAAGTCATTACCAGCGAGCGTGCCGCACACGGCGACAATACGACGGACGTCTTGGGGGTCACACATTAATTTAGAAGACTAGCTGACACTTCAACGTCTTATTAGCAGATACCAGTGAGGGGTGAGGGGTGAGGCACAGAGCGGCTCCGCTAATTGAGAACACAATCAGAGTGTATATATTATATATAGCCTTGAGAAAGTCCCCCTCCCCCCTGAAATGCCCCCATGTTGTTATGTGACAACCAAAACCATACTGGGGTTGGGATGTGATGGACCGACACAAAAGTGGCCCATCATTGTGAAGTGGAAGGAAATGAGAAATGGTTTCCAACATTTGTGACCAATAAATCTGTGAGAAGTGTGGCGGCATTTGTATTCAGCCCCTTTACTCTGATCCCCCCAACTACAATCTAGTGGAACCAATTTGCCTTCAGAAGTCACCTGATTAGTACATAGAGTCCCCCTGTGTGTCATGTGATCTCAATATAAATCCAGCTGTTCTGTGAACCCCTCAGGAGGTTTGTTAGAGAACATTAGTGACCAATCAGCATCATGAAGGCCAAGGAACACACCAGACAGGTTAGGGATAAAGTTGTGGAGAAGTGTAAAGCAGGGTTAGGGTATAAAATGATATCCCAAGCTTTGACCATCTCGCGGAGCACTGTGTTCAATCCATCATCCGAACATGGGAGGAGTACGGCACAACTGCCAGCCTACCAAGATGTGGCCGTCCACCTAAACTGACCGGCCGGGGGCAAGGAGAACATTCATCAGAGAAGCAGCCAAGAGGCTCATGGGAACTGTGGAGGAGCTGCAGAGATCCACAGCTCAGGTGGGAGAATCTGTCCTCAGGACAACTATTAGTCGTCACTCCACCAAAATCTGCCTTTATGGAAGAGTGACAAGAAGAAGCCATTGTTGGAGGAAAGCCATAAGAAGTCCCGTTTGCAGTTGGTGAGAAGCCATGTGGGGGGGACAGCAAACGTGTGGAAGAAGGGGCTCTGGTCAGAGGAGACCAACATGGGACTTTACGGCCTAAAAGCAAAATGCTGTGTGGGGGAAAACTAACACTGCCCATCCCCCTGAACACACCATCCCCACCGTGAAACATGGCGGTGGCATCATGTGGTGGGGATGCTTTTCTTCAGCAGGGACAGGGAAGCTGGTCGGAGTTGATGGGAAGATGGATGGAGCCAAATACAGGGCAATCTTAGAAGAAAACCTGTTAGAAGACTTGAGACCGGGGCGGAGGTTCCCCTTCCAGCAGGACAACGACCCGAAACATCCAGCCAGACCTACAATGCAATGGTTCCGATCCAAGCATCTTCATGTGTTAGAATGGCCCAGTCCAGACCCAAATCCAATGGAGAATCTGTAGCTAGACCTGAAAATTGCTGTTTCCCAGACGCTCTTCATCCAATCTGACAGCTGAGAGATTCTGCAAAGAAGAACGGGCAGAAATGTCCCTCTCTAGATGTGCAAAGAGACATCCCCAAAAAGACTTGCAGCTGGAATGGCAGCCAAAGGGTATCCTACAAAGTATGGACTCCGGGGGGCCGAATACAAATTTCACCACACTTGTCACAGATTTATTGTCACAAATGTTGGAAACCATTTCTCATCTTCCTTCCACTTCACAATTATGTGCCACTTTGTGTCGGTCCATCACATCCAATCCTGATAGATACATTGTAACATGACAACATGGGGGGGGGGGGGATACATTGTAACATGACAAATAACATGACGAGGGGGGGGGGGGGGGGGGATACATTGTAACATGACAACATGGGGGGGGGGATACATTGTAACATGGCAGGCGGTGTTCCCCAGGTGGGATCATCAATAACAGGCGAGGTTCCCCAGGTGGGATCATCAATAACAGGGGATGTTCCCCAGGTGGGATCATCAATAACAGGCAAGGTCCCCAGGTGGGATCATCAATAACAGGCAAGGTCCCCCAGGTGGGATCATCAATAACAGGCAAGGTCCCCCAGGTGGGATCATCAACAACAGGCAACAGGCGGTGTTCCCCAGGCGGCGTTTCCCAGTGGGATCATCAACAACAGGCGGTCAACAACAGGCGGTGTTCCCCAGGTGGGATCATCAACAACAGGCGGTGTGGGATCCCCAGGTGTTCCCCAGGGGGATCATCAACAACAGGCGGTGTTCCCCAGGTGGGATCATCAACAACAGGCGGTGTTCCCCAGGTGGGAAATGATCATCAACAACAGGGGATGTTCTCCAGGTGGGATCATCAACAACAGGGGGCGATGTTCTCCAGGTGGGATCATCAACAGGGGATGTTCTCCAGGTGGGATCATCAACAACAGGGGATGTTCCCCAGGTGGGATCATCAATAACAGGGATGTTCCCCAGGTGGGATCATCAATAACAGGCGATGTTCTCCCAGGTGGGATCATCAATAACAGGCAATGTTCTCCAGGTGGGATCATCAATAACAGGGGATGTTCTCCAGGTGGGATCATCAATAACAGGGGATGTTCTCCAGGTGGGATCATCAGGGGATGTTCTATCATCAATAACAGGGGAATGTTCTCCAGGTGGGATCATCAATAACAGGGGATGTTCTCCAGGTGGGATCATCAATAACAGGGGATGTTCTCCAGTGGGATCATCAATAACAGGGGATGTTCTCCAGGTGGGATCATCAATAACAGGGGGATGTTCTCCAGGTGGGATGTTCTCCAGTCATCATAACAGGGGATGTTCTCCAGGTGGGATCATCAATAACAGGGGATGTTCTCCAGGTGGGATCATCAATAACAGGGGATGTTCTCCAGGTGGGATCATCAATAACAGGGGATGTTCTCCATGGGATCAATAACAGGGGATGTTCTCCAGGTGGGATCATCAATAACAGGGGATGTTCTCCAGGTGGGATCATCAATAACAGGGGATGTTCTCCAGGTGGGATCATCAATAACAGGGGATGTTCTCCAGGTGGGATCATCAATAACAGGGGATGTTCTCCAGGTGGGATCATCAATAACAGGGGATGTTCTCCAGGTGGGATCATCAATAACAGGGGATGTTCTCCAGGTGGGATCATCATCATAACAGGGGATGATGTTCTCAATAACAGGTGGGATCATCAATAACAGGCGGATGTTCTC